AAAAAAAAAAACAGGTAAGCAGACAGAAAATGTTATATATTTATACAATATATGCTCCTCTGAAATAAAAATGAATTATTGCTACATGCAAGAACTTGAGTCTCAAATCACTGAGTGCAAGAAGGTGCAAAAATGTGCATACTGTATGATTTTATTTATATAAAATCCCGAGATGCAAACCATCTTTAGAAACAAAGTAGATCAATGGTTGGTTGCCTGGAGACTGGCACTGTAATGATGAATAACCTTGAAGTTACACTTTCATGTATATTCATACAAAATTTCTGGGTTGAAAGCATAGATCAGGTATGATTTATTCTGACTACCTCTTTATCCACTTTTGCCAAGTCTCCTAAAACAGCCAAACAAATAGCTCATTTATTCTTCTATCTAGGTAAGTCTTATTTTGCTTCTTCTGAAACTTTCTGTGAGCCTTTATGTAGCCACATCAACCTATGGACATTAAGTGTGTTGGCCTGATGTAGAGAAAAGATCACCCAGTTAGGGTTAACTGGATTTACAGAACAAACACAATCATCAAGCTAATTTAATTATCTTGATTGATTTTTGAGGGGGGGCTTGGTAGACACAGACCAACCTATGTCTCTATCACCATCACATTATTATCATTATTGTATTTAGTAATAGATGTAATCATTTACAAAATGTCTAATGTAGTGTCGGAACTGACCCTGACACTTATATTATCTCATTTAATCCTAAAATGTACATAGTAGCCACCCTTCCATAGGTGGAGACAGGGATATTCAGAGCTAAGAATGGCAGGATTTGAGTCTGAAATCAGATCTGCCCATGTCAAATCTTTTCCCAATAAGCTATACTGCTTATCATTTGTAGAGGACTCTACAAGATCAGTGAGGCTTGTGACTACATCCTTTGTGGCAGTAGTAGGAATTTAGTGAGGGATAAGATCCGGAATTCAAGGATGGAAAAACTCATTTATTCAGGTAATCAACAAAGGATTATTGAATACCAACTATATTTTGAGAGTTATCTTAGGTTGTAGGGAAATAGTAGCGCACAACTGCTAGATTTACGTTTCAATACTGTTACTATCATATTTAATTGGGAACAAAAGACAATTCTTTAGATTTATTGAAGTACAGCTTATTAAAATAGTACCTTCATTAAATTATCATAAATTTGGATTATTTTCCTCAGAGTATAAGCATTTGATGATACTCTATAAAATACATAAATCTTTAGTGCTTTTTGCCAGCTAATTTTAGTTTTTTATTTTGTTTTGTTTTTAAGGGTTATTTATTCAAAAGGCAGAGTTACATAGAGAGCAAGACAGACAGAGACAGAGACAGAGACAGAGAAATTCCATCCAATGGTTCACTCCTCAGATGGCCGAAATGGCCAGGGCTAGGCCAAGCTGAAGTTGGCAGCCTGAACTCCATCTGGTCTCCCAAGTGGGTGGCAGGGGCTTAAGCACTTGGGCTATCTTCTGGTGCCTTCCCAGGCACATTAGCAGAGAAGCGGAGCAGACAGGACTCCACCCAGTGCCCATATGGGATGTCGGCATTGCAAGCAGCAGCTTGACTCACTGCACCACAACACCGGCCCCTAATTTCAGTTTTAATAAAAAGTTATCTGGCTCCTTGAGGAACTCAAGGCTGATCATTCAGTGGACATAGCAGATACCCTGACCACAAATTCCTTTTTAGGGCAACTAGAACAGATGTCACTTGAATAGGGTGGAGGCGATTCATTCTGTATGCCTGTGCAATGTGTATTTCCTTCTAATCACACGCAGCACAGTGCAGGTTTCACAACACAAGAAAGGGGTGTTCCTTTACCTTCAGTTCAAACAAACATTAGCTAATTTAATCTAGGAATACATATTTTACAGCTCAGTTTGTTCCCAAAAAATGGATTTAAGATAACTAATTCCTGGGGGCCGGCACAGTGGCATAGCAGGTAAAGCTGCTGCCTGTGATGCCAGCATCCCATATGGGTGCCAGTACGAATCCCGGCTGCTCCACTTCCAATCTAGCTCTCTGCTATGGCCTGGGAAAGCAGTAGAAGATGGCCCAAGTCCTTGGACCCCTGCACTTGCATTGGAGACCTGGAGGAGGCTCCTGTCTCCTGGCTTTAGATAGGCACAGCTCCGGCTATTGGGGCCAACTGGGGAGTAAACCAGTGGATGGAAGATTTCTCTTTCTCTCTCTGCCTCTCCTACTCTCTGTAACTCTTTCAAGTAAGTAACAATAATAAAAAAAGATAACTAATTCTTATTATTTAAAAGTATTTGGCTAGGTGCTTCAGGATATACAAATATGAATAAGATCTAGCCCCTAATATCAAGGAGTCTGACTTTGATGTTTATGTAAGAAGCTGGTAATAAGATTAAATGAGGGGCCGGTGCCGTGGCATAGCGGGTAAAGCCGCCGTCTGCAGTGCCAGCATCCCACATGGGTGTCAGTTCGAGTCCTGGCTGCTCTACTTCTGATCCAGCTCTCTGTCATGGCCTAGGAAAGCACTGGAGGATGTCCCAAGTTCTTGGGCCCCTGCACCCACATGGAGACCTGGAGGAAGCTCCTGGCTTCTGGGTTCGGATCAGCACAGCTCCAGTCATTGCAGCCATCTGGGGAGTAAACCAGGAAATGGAAGTCTGCCTGTCTGTCTGTCTCTCTCTCTTCCTCTCTACCTCTGCCACTCTGTGGCTCTGCCTTCCAAATAAATAAATATTTAAAAAAAAAAGATTAAATGAGCCATTGGAGGCTGGCTAGGAACCTAATAACATATATTATTTCTACCAAGATCCATAAAGCTAACTTTCATTCTTTTTTTAAGAGAGATTTATTTATTTGAAAGGCAGAATGACAGAGAGAGAAGGAGACACAGAAAGATCTTCAATCTACTGGTTCACTTCCCAAATGACCACAAGGGTCAGGTCCAGATCAGACCTAAGCCAGGAACCAAGAACTCCATCCTGGTCTCCCACATGGGATGCAGGGGCCCAAGTACTTGGGTCATTTTCTGCTGCTTCCCCAGGCACATTAGCAGGAAGCTGGATGTGGAGTGGAGCCAGCAGGACTTGAACCAGTGCTCCAATATGGGATGCTGGCACGGCATGCTTAACCTGCCATGCTGCAATGCCAGTCCTACTTCTAGTCTTCAGGAATACCTATTGCTTATAAGCTGGAGACCTTCATTTACCTTATTCATAAGCCAAATTTAATGTTAATCAAGAGGGCACTCTTTCTCTTTTAGACTTGAAATGGCAAATGTGAAGGATTTGACTTCCTACCCAAACAAGAAAAGGTGACAAAGACTAACCAAGTGTTCAGAAAAACACACTAAAAGTCTACTAAATACATTTCCCCAGTTGTTCTTCCCATCTCCTGAACAATCACTAAATCACTGCAATAAGCTAGCTCTGTGAATGCTGCCCCCTTTCTAGGTCATAAGCTGACTAAAAGCAGGAACCCCAGCTTCCTTGTCTTCATGTAACAGCACAGAGTTGCACTGCAAATGCTAGGTATTTATTCAAGTTCTAATCCAAAAAAGAGTAGTCACTCTCTACCTCTCACTCATGAGGCTGATGGTGCTTGCCTCCCACTGTCTCAGAGAATGCAACATTTCAAAGGGGAAAGCTGGCCAGGACTAGCAATGTCAACAACTACATTCATAAGCAGAATCCAGGCCACAGCAAGACAGAATATTAAAATACTCAACTCTGATGCAACCAAAATGTTAAAGATTTCATAGAACATTCTTTGTATGTTTCTACAAACGAGAAATAGTGTTATTCTTTTCTTAACAAACCTGCTTCAGGTGCTTCTTCAGTAAGTGTCTTAGAGTCAAAAATATTAAGCCTCTTCCCCTTGAATAAATTTTTTCTAATACTAAAAAGAGAAAAAACATATCTTAGTGGAATATTTATAAAATATCAACAAAAATGTTTATAAGAAAAAATTTTACATGAAATATTCTATGTAGAAATTTAAAACAATTCCATTGACACACTAGACATTTTAGCTAAACTGCCACATGGTTAGAAGACTCATAAGTAAAACAGGAAACAGTGCACTTGAATTTCTGCTTCACAATACCACAAACCAGTTAAAGCACTTTACTTTTCTAAACACCTAAAGGAAAAGATTAATTTAAATTGCCCTAATTTTTTTATCTCTTTCATATTCAGGTTTTAGAAAGCTCAATCTGGAAAGCTGTAAAATATGCTAAAGTAGAAGCCATTGAAACTTAACATTTGTCTTTAAAATCTAAAAACACTGCAATGATTAATTACAAATTATAAAAAGTAATAAAAATTGATAGATAAAGTACTGTATTTTTAATTACTCAAATTAATGTCAGAGAGTTAATAGATAACTTTTCTTGGATATAATTCAATCAACTGCTTTATACATCAATTTGCTTATTTATTTGAACAAATACAAGGGTACTACAAAAGTTTGTGAGGGGTTCCAAGATGGCAGAATAGCGACAGGGTGGTCTGATTTAGGCTAAGCAAAATTAATATAAAAGAAGTGGAGAAAGCGTACTCTCAGGGTAAAGCCGCAGGGGAAGCTGCAGTGGGAGGTCCTGCAAAAGCACTAGAAACAGCCTGGACCTGTGTGGAAGCTGCAGATAAGGAGCAAGGAGCAATAAAACAAAAAACACAGCAGCTTGGATCTGGGGTAAAAAGTGCCAGCCCTGGCAAAACAGGTGAGATAGGATGGGCCTGCACTGCTGTTGATACAGCTGGCAGGAGAGCTTAGTGAACTACACTGTTTTTGAGTCCTGCCCAAGGCAACCGGGTGACTGCTCACTACTTCGGGGGAGGGGGGCGGGGTGGGAGATGCGGTGTCTTTCTCTCTCTCCCTTTCTCCCCCCTGCAACAGTGACCTGCAGCCAGCTGTGGAAGGTTGGTAGCATTTTTGGACATAACCAAGTAGCAGCTGCTCCAGCTTTTGAGCATGCATCCAGCAACTACTGAGGTCACCCTCCCCCCAGTCAGCTGGGGCAACCACGGCAGTTCAAAAGCAGCCAACAGGGATGGTCATCTGTGGGACCCTCCTATGCACCCAGCATAATTGTGAAGCGAGCTGCGCTGAGGCTGGCGCTGAAACCATTTATGATGAAAATTTTAAGCAAATTGGGTATAGAAGGAACATTCCTCAACACAATCAAAGCAATTTTTAACAAACCCACAGCCAGCATCCTACTGAATGGGGAAAGATTGGAGGCATTCCCAGTAAGACCGGGAACCAGACAAGGATGTCCACTCTCACCATTGCTGTTTAACATAGCCTTGAAAATTTTAGTCAGAGCCACCAGGCAAGAAAAAGAAATCAAAGATATAAATAGGGAAGGAAGAAGTCAAACTATCCCTATTTGCTGATGATGTACATGACTCTATATATAGGGAATCCCAAAGACTCCACAAAGAGAAAACTGGAACTCATAAAGAGTTTGGAACTCATAAAAGTAGCAGCATATAAAATCAATATACAAAAATCAATAGCCGTTGTATATACAGAAAATACCATAGCTGAGAAAGAACATCTAAGATCAATCTCATTCATAATATCTACAAAAAAATTTAAATACCTTGCAATAAATTTAACCAAAGGATGTCAAATATCTCTATGATGAAAATTATAAAACATTAAAGAAATAGGGGCCAGCGCCGTGGATCACTCGGTTAATCCTCTGCCTGCAGCACCAGCGTCCCATATGGGCGCCGGGTTCTAGTCCCGGTTGTTCCTCTTCCAGTCCAGCTCTCTGCTGTGGCTTGGGAGGGCAGTGGAGGATGGCCCATGTGCTTGGGCCCCTGCACCACATGGGAGACCAGAAGAAGCACCTGGCTTCTGGCTTCGGATAGGCGCAGCGGCGGCTGTGGCGGCCATTTGGGGAGTGAACCAACAGAAGGAAGACCTTTCTCTCTGTCTCTCTCTCACTGCCTGTAACTCTACCTGTCAAATAAATAAATAATAATAAAAAATTAAAGAAACAGAAGATATAAAAAAGTGGAAAAATGTTCCATGTTTGTGGACTGGAAGAATCAACATCATCAAAATGTCCATACTACCAAAAGCAATTTATAGATTCAATGCAATCCCAATAAAAATATCAACAACATTCTTCTCAGATCTAGGATAAATGATGCGAAGATTCATATGGAAAACCAGAGACCCCAAATAGCTAAAGCATCTTAAAAAATAAAAACAAAGCTGGAAGCATCAAAATATCAGACCTCAAGACATACTACAGGGCAGTTATAATCAAAACAGCCTGGTACTGGCACAAAAACAGACGTATAGACCAATGGAGCGGAATAGAAATTACAGAAATTAATCCACATATAATCAACTTATCTTTGACAAAGGAGCAAAAAATCAACCTCTGGAGCCAACACAGTCTCCTCAACAAATGGTGCTGGGAAAATTGGATTTCTGCAGGCAGAAGTATGAAACAAGATCCCTTCTTTACACCTTACAGAAACCTAAATTTACGATGTGATACTATCAAATTGCTAGAGAACTCTGGGGAAACCCTATAAGACACTGACATAGGGAAAGACTTCTTGGAAAAGACCTCAGTAGCACAGGCAATCAAAGCCAAAATTAACAAGTGGAATTACACCAAACTGAGAAGCTTCTGCATTGCAAAAGAAACACTCAGCAAAATGAAGAGGCAACTGACAGAATGGGAGAAAATATTTAAAAACTATGCAACTGATAAAAGACTGATCTCTAGTATCTATAAAGACCTCAAGAAAGTCAACAACTACAAAACAAACAATCTAGTCAAGAAATGGGCAAAGGACCTGAACAGACATTTTTCAAGAGAGGAAATCTAAATGGCCAATAGACACATGAGAAAATGCTCAGGATCATTAGCCATCAGGGAAATGCAAATCAAAATCACAATGTTTCACCTCATCTCCCTTAGAATGGCTCACGTACAGAAATCAACAAATGACAAATGCTGGCAAGGATGTGAGGAGAAGGGTACCCTAATTCAATGTTGGTGGGAATATAAACTGGTACAGCCACTATGGAAGATAGTATGGAGATACCTCAGAAAGCTGAATATAGGGGCCAGCACTGTGGTGTAGTGGGTAAAGCTGCTGCCTGCAGTGCCAGCATCCCATATGGGTGCTGGTTCAAGTCCCAGCTGCTCCACTTCCAATCCAGCTCTGTGCTATGGCCTGGGAAAGCAGTGGAAGATGGCCCAAGTCCTTGGGCCCCTGCACTTGGGTGGGAGACCTGGAAGCAGCTCTTGGCTTCTGAATGGCCCAGCTCTAGCCGTTGCGGCCAATTAGGGAGTGAACCAGCGGATGGAGGCCCTCTCTCTCTGCCTCTCCTTCTCTCTGTGTAACTCTGACTTTCAAATAAAATAAATAAATATTAAAAAAAAAAAAAAAAACCAGAAAGCTGAAATATAGACCTACCATATGACCCAGCCATCCCACTCCTGGGAATTTATCCAAAGGAAATGAAATCAGCATATGAAAGAGCAATCTATACCCCATGTTCATTTCGGCTGAATTTACAACAGTTAAGATATGGAATCAAACCAGATGTCCATCAGCTGAAGACTGGATAAAAAAAAAATTATGGTATATATACACTATGGATTACTACACAGCAGAAAAAAATGAAATCCTGTCACTTGAAACAAAATGGAAGCATCTAGAAACCATTATACTTAGTGAAATAAGCCAGTCACAAAAAGACAAATACCATATGGTCACTCTGATCTGTGGTAACTAATGCCAGACTTAAAAGGTAATCTATAGGAGCGAAACTAACACCTTGAGATACAATGATTTTGAACAGCCCTTGCCTTGACTGTAGAGCAACAATGTTTTTCTTGTTTGTTTTTGTTCCTTTTCTTTTTTGTTCATGCTATTCGGTGAACTCTCTATATAGTATAGGGTTAATCTTATGAGTATAAAATTTGGGGAGTGAACCAATGGAAGGAAGACCTTTCTCTCTGTCTCTCCCTCTCACTGTCTGTAACTCTCTCAAATAAAAAATTAAAAAGAAATTAACTGAAAATTGATCTCTGTAAAAAAAAAAAAATTGAATGAATGGGGCTGTCACTGTGGTGCAGCAGATTATCACCCTGGCCTGAAGCACCGGCATCCCATATGGGCGCCAATTTGCATCCCGGCTGCTCCACTTTTGATCCAGCTCTCTGCTATGGCCTGGGAAAGTAGTAGAAGATGGCTCAAGTCCTTGGGCCCCTGCATCCATGTGGGAGACCCAGAAGAAGCTCCTGGCTCCTGGCTTCAGATTGGTGCAGCTCTGGCCTTTGGGGTCAATTGGGGAGTGAACCAGTGGATAGAGGACCTCTCTCTCTCTCTCTGTGTAACTCTGACTTTCAAATAAATAAATAAATCTTTTTAAAAAAATAAGAATGGTGGAAAAAGCTGCTATAATCCAAAAGTTGTACTTTGGAAATTTATATTTATTAAATAAAAGTTAAAAAAAAAAAGAACGGTAAAGGAAGAGGAAGGAGGAAGAAAGGAGGGAATATGGGTGGGAGGGAGGAAGGGAGGGAAAGGAAAAGAATCACTGTGTTCTCAAATTTGCATGTATTAAATACATAAAGTTGTATTCTTTAAACAAAATTTTTAAAAAATGCAAAAAAAAGAGTTCATGGTAATGGAATTAAAAGATGAGTTTTTGTTGGAAAAAAATTTTGAAATCCATGCATATGAGTATAATCACAGGTTAAAACCCAATCTATAAACTGTAGATTCTTCCATGGATCAAAATTTTTTCTGCTAAAGGAAACTAGAAAAAGTGAAAATTCAGGGAAAGTAATCTCAAGTCATGTAAGTTCTTCTTCAGCAGGTCTCCAAGTATTTGTTAACAAAGGCCTTTGTGCTCCAGAACCATCCTCAGTGCTTTGCATCCTTTTCTCTCTTCAGTATTTGATGGATATTTGGGAAACAGACTGATGGAAGCTCCTGTGTCCCAGTCACAGAATTAGTTAATGGCAGTGCCAAGACTCTGGGGGAGGCCAGCGTGACTCCTAAGCTAGCAGTCTGTGACTCAGGCCCCTCAGCTTCTAATAGAAGGTGTCAGTTTAGGTCTGGATTTTCTTGGGCTGTCCCCAATCCTACCTAAGTCATAAGATGAACAACTTGTTATTTCTTCATTGCTTCCCCCTTAGTCCCCTGTGGTTAGATTTTTTTTTAAATATTTTATTTATTTATTTGAGAGGTAGGGCCACTGACAGAGAGAGGGACAGAGAGAAAGGCCCTCAATCCACCAGCTCACTCCCCAGATGGTCGCAATGACCAGAGCTGGGCTAATCTGAGCCAGGAGCTGGGCTAATCTGAGCCAGGAGCCAGGAACTTCTTCCGGGTCTCCCACACAGGTGCTGGTGTCCAAGCACTTGGGGCATCCTCCACTACATTCCCAGGCCATAGCAGAGAGCTGGATTGGAAGAGGAGCAGCCGGGACACACACCGGTCCCCACATGGGATGCCAGTGCTGCAGGCTACAGCATTAGCATGCTGAGCCACAGTACTGGCTCCCTGTTTTTTTTTTTTTTTTTTTTTTATTTTTTATTTATTTATTTATTTATTTTTTTGACAGGCAGAGTGGACAGTGAGAGAGAAAGACAGAGAGAAAGGTCTTCCTTTGCCATTGGTTCACCCTCCAATGGCTGCCGCGGCCGGCGCGCTGCGGCCGGCGCACCGCGCTGATCCGATGGCAGGAGCCAGGAGCCAGGTGCTTTTCCTGGTCTCCCATGGGGTGCAGGGCCCAAGCACCTGGGCCATCCTCCACTGCACTCCCTGGCCACAGCAGAGAGCTGGCCTGGAAGAGGGGCAACCGGGACAGAATCCGGCTCCCCAACCGGGACTAGAATCTGGTGTGCCGGCGCCGCTAGGCGGAGGATTAGCCTAGTGAGCCGCGGAGCCGGCCTCCCTGTGGTTTTAAACTGTGATCATAAGCACAGAAACCTCTCTTTAGCTTCTCCCTTGCTGCTTCCTAATTTTTAATGGCAGCTAATAGCATCAGAAGCCAGGTTACAACATGGCATTTTCAAGAAGTCACATGCAATTATGGTAAGAAGACAGAATCAGCTAAATATGCTTGAGGATTAACTGATTCAATTAAATGGTCTTAAGTAAAACCCTAAGTACATTTTCTATTTTATTTGATAATACATCATAGGTAATAAGTCATTTTAACTTAGTTATTCAAATAATAATCTAAAGTCATTATAACCTCCTGAATGTCCTGTGTCGATTGTTGTCAACCTTTTCCAATCATCCTGTACAAATCTGTAATTTAACACCCAGAAAGAGCGAAGTCATGCTCCTGAGATGATGCTTAAAAAAAAAAAAAAAAACCACAATGCACTGAAAATACTCCGATTATAAGCATATCCTCTTCCTAAAGACAAGATCTGGTTCCTCCACCCCAATCACATTTTTTGGGCTTACAGTAAAAAAAGAACAGAAACTTCACATAAATACAGAACAACTTCTAATTATAAAGTAACTATGTAAGGCATGGTTTAGCATTTTTAAGGTATGAGGAAAGATGATCATTTATAGTGATATAAAGGGTAAATAAATATTCAGTGTTACAAACATATTCAGAATGAAAAATAATGCTTCTTATAAAAATGTTCAATTGTTCAGAATTCAGTCAGTTTTATTTATTCTAAATCAGCGTACCACTATTTAGCAGGCACAGATGTGAGGCAGGGCCCATATAAAAAAAATGCAGAACTGTTAAATTCAGAACACTTTCCTGCTCCAGGAAATAGTCCATGGAGAGTATGGAGACAGATGTCAATGCTCAGGTACCTATCAGCAATGATATGTACACACAGTAAGTTGATCTACAGGTAACATTCAAACGAAGTACACAAACAAAACAACACACTGCAAAGCCTGAGTACCTTTTTCTAAGATCAGTAGTCTTCTGGTCAAGGGAACTGTCAGATCCTTCGTCAAACTGAATCTGATGCTCTGGTCTTATATGAACTCTAGCTGTAGCAGGTCTGGCAACTTTCATATCTGAAATTATGTTCCTGAAACTGAAATAATAAAAAGGTCAACTGCATTAAAAATGTTAGCTAAGGACAGTAATAAACTTTCTTAAATTGCAGACTCATATTACTTAATTCTTATTGTACTTTTATGTGCTCAAACAGAACAGGTTTAAATTTTTTAAAAAATGACTTATTAACATTCACATACCAGAGATCATTAGGATTTTTTTTAAAAAGATTTATTTGTTTGAAAGTCAGAGTTACACAGAGAGGAGAGGCAGAGAGAGAGAAGTCTTCCATCCAATGGTCCATTCCCCAGTTGGCCGCAGTGGCCAGAGCTCTGCTGACCTGAAGCCAGGAACCAGCAGCTTTCTCTAGGTCTCCCCCATGGGTGCAGGGGCCCAAGCACTTGGCCATCTTCCATTGCTTTCCTAGGCCATAGCAGAGAGCTGGATCAGAAGTGGAGCAGCCAGGTCTCAAAGCAGCACCCATATAGGATGCTGGCGCCTCAGGTCAGGGCATTAACCTGCTGTGCCACAGTGCCGGCCCTGACCATTAGAATTTATGTTCTTCAGGTCTTAATTTAAAACATAAATTGAGGGCCAGAGTTGTGTAGTAGTGAGTTAAGCTGTAGTGTGCAATGCTAGCATCCTATTCCGATGCTGATTCGAGTGCCAGTAGCTCCACTTCTAACCTAGCTTCCTGCTAATGTGCCTGGGAAGATAGAAGAAAATGTTCCAAGTATATGGGACTCTGCCACCCGCATGGGAGACTGAGATGGACTTCCTGGCTCCTGGTTTCAGTCTGGCCCAGCCTTTGCTATTATGGCCCTTTGGAGAGTGAACCAGCAGATGGTTCTCTCTCTTCCTTTCTGTCACTCTGCCTTTGGGGAAAAAAAATGTCTTGAACTGGATGGAGCTTATTTTTTTTTTTTTTTTTTTGACAGGCAGAGTGGACAGTGAGAGAGAGAGACAGAGAGAAAGGTCTTCCTTTGCCGTTGGTTCACCCTCCAATGGCCGCTGCGGCCGGCTCACGCGCTGATCCGATGGCAGGAGTCAGGTACTTATCCTGGTCTCCCATGGGGTGCAGGGCCCAAGGACCTGGGCCATCCTCCACTGCACTCCCTGGCCACAGCAGAGAGCTGGCCTGGAAGAGGGGCAACCGGGACAGAATCCGGCACCCCGACCAGGACTAGAACCCGGTGTGCCGGCGCCGCAAGGCAGAGGATTAGCCTAGTGAGCCACGGCGCCGGCCTGGATGGAGCTTATTAAAAAAACAAAACATAAGTTGTCATTATGAAAAATTATTCGCCAGTGCCGCGGCTCAATAGGCTAATCCTCTACCTAGTGGCGCTGGGACACCTGGTTCTGTCCCGGTTGCCCCTCTTCCAGGCCAGCTCTCTGCTGTGGCCCGGGAGTGCAGTGGAGGATGGCCCAAGTGCTTGGGCCCTGCACCCCATGGGAGACCAGGAGAAGCACCTGGCTCCTGCCTTCGGATCAGTGCGGTGCGCCAGCCGCAGTGCGCCGGCCGTGGCGGCCACTGGAGGGTGAACCAACGGCAAAAGGAAGACCTTTCTCTCTGTCTCTCTCTCTCACTATCCACTCTGCCTGTCAAAAAAAAAAAAAAAAGAAAAAGAAAAATTATCAAACAACCAGAGAAGCTGATAGGAAAGCCAATCATTATCTGTGTATCACCTAGATTCCTCACTAAACTAAAATAAAATCTAGCCACACTTACCTGTTGCCTTACATTTGTTCAACACAAACAAAATGAGTCACTGAACTGACGCTTCAGCTACCTATATGTTTTCCTTTAAAGATTTACTTATTTTTGTTTAAAATGCAGAGTTACAGAGAGAGAAAGAGAGGGAGAGAGATTCTATTTGTTGGTTCACTCCCCAAATAGCGGCATCAGTCAGAGCTGGGCCAGGCCAAAGCCAGGAGCCTGGAAATCCATTCTGTTCTCCTACATGGGTGGCAAGGGTTGAAGTACTCGGGCCATCTCCCACTGCTTTTGTTAGGCCATTAGCAGGTAGCTGGATTGGAAGTGGAGCAGTAGACTTGAACAGGTGCCCACATGGGACACTGGCATTGCAGGCAGCAGCTTAACCTGCTACACCACAATGCTGGCCCCTCTATGTTTTCTTTTAGCTTCCTGAGGTAAATCTAGCACAAACACTCATTGGGAAGGACTGATCTGGATTACTCTCCAAAGTAGTGCCACCATTTTTTACATTTGGGCAGCAAATGTATAGCACAATGTAACTTAATATAACCTGGTAGAATTGAGTGGTAAACAGTGCATCTGGAAAAATGTTAGCTCACACACAGGAACAAAAGGAAAAAGAGAAGTAAACGGGCTTAGAGATTACCATAGTGTGTATAAAACCAGGATTTTAGGGGCAAGTGATGTGGCATAGCAGGTAAAGCCACCGCCTGCAGTGGCAGCATTCCATATGGGCACAAGTTCAAGTCCCGGCTACTCCACTTCTGATCCAGCTCTCTGCTATGGCCTTGGAAAGCAGTAGAAGATGGCCCAAGTCCTTGGGTCCCTGCACCCACGTGGGAGACTCAGAAGGAGCTCCTGGCTCCAGGCTTTGGATCAGCCCAGCTCTGGCCATTGTGGCCATTTGGGGGAATGAATGACCGGATAGAAGACTTTCTTTTTCTCTCTGCCTCTGCCTCTCTGTAACTCTGCCTTTTAAATAAATAAATAAATCTTAACAAAAATAAATAAATAAATAAATAAAAAATACAAGCAGGATTTTATCTAACCAAAAAAATTAATCTTCTCAAAATGGCTATCATGTTGTTTCTTACTTATTTTTAATAATAATTACTTAATCTAACATTTCTTTTTTGAGGACAAGAAGTTGTAACACTTCCTAAAACAAGTTTAACCATTTGATTGATCTTTTTAAAGCTATTATCTTGGGGCCGGCGCTGTGGTGTGGCAGGTAGAGCCGCTGTCTGCGGTGCCAGCATCCCATATAGGCACGGGTTTGAGTCCCAGTTGCTCCACTTCCTATCTAGCCCTCTGTTAATGCCTGGGAAAGCAGTAGAAGATGGCCCAAGTCCTTGGGCCCCTGTCCCCACGTGGGAGACCTGGAAGAAGCTCTTGCCTCCGAACCGGTGCAGCTCTGGCCATCGCAGCCACCTGGGGAGTGAGCCAGAGGATGGAATACCCCTCCCTCTCCCTCTCCCTCCCTCCCGCTCTCTCTCTCTCTGCCTCTGCTTCTCTGTAACTCTGCCTTTCACATCAATACATAAAATCCTAAAAAAAAAAAAAGCTATACTCTTACTTAAGATACAAGTTTTTTTAAAAATCAAATGGCTAAAATTCCATTTATGAAGTACATTATATATAAATGTACATATTATGTATACCACTGACAAGAAATCACCTATCTTGAGATGTAAATCTTACAGACAACACTCTGTGATTCACTGACCTAATTTTAGGCCTCTGTCGGTCCTTCTGTGCCCACGAGGCTTCCTCATGCTGCTGGAGCTGCCTGAGCAGGTCTGACTTGGTCTTCTGCTTGTCAAAAGGGAGAGAATCTGCCACAGCAGTCGCAGCTGCCACCAACTCAGGACTCAGAGGCTTATCTCTGAAAGAGATAATTAGCAAAGGCTTATTACTGTGTTGTACCATTGCCACAGATGAAAAAGGGTTGATTGCATGATTTTGTTTACTTCGCATGTTTTAAATTTTCCATAAGAAAAAGCTTTTAAAAAACTACTCCCAAGTAAATTGGAGTAAGTTAATAGAAAATAATCCAGAAATAAAAAAAAGATTTATAACTTTTCAACCCTCTTTGAATTGCCATCTTTTTAAATATTCATAACTTTTCATATAAGGGGGATGAATTTCATGTATTTCACATGTACAGTGTTAAGAACAGAATACTTCCCACCTTACCCTCCCTCAGTCCCAGCCTCCCTTCCTTTTTTAGAAATGCCACCTTCAGTGGGATTCAAATTGTATATTATTATACCTGTCTTTCTCTGTCATGGTCTATTATTATTATTATTATCTAACACGTAAATTAAAGTTCCCAAACACCTGAAGTTGTTGGATAAAGACTGCAAGGATTTTGCCAAGATATGGAAGATCCAAATTCTGATAGAAATAAAAGAAAAATAGAAAAGGGAAATACAGCAATTAAAAAGAAATGCTCTACTTTCAAAACTATTATCTGTGAATAAAGCTTAAACCTGTTCTAAGCTACTGTACTTCTTTCAAAAACTACTAGTGAAGTTCACTTTCAAATTTTAATACATGTATTTGATCAGAATATGCAAAGACCATTATAGATGAGCATTTTACAGAACCATGCATTCAATAAAATGGTTTCATAATTGGAAATGTTTTAACTAATAAAAATTGTGGTTAAGCCTCTGCCATAAAAATAAGGTAACTGCTGGGGCCAGTGCTGTGGTGTAGCAGGTAAAGCTGTCGCCTGCAGGGCTGGCGTCCCATATGGGTGTCAGTTCGTATCCCGGCTGCTCCACTTCTGATCCAGCTCTCTGCTATGTCTTGGGAAAGCAGTAGAGAATGGCCCAAGTCCTTGGGCCACTGTGCCCGCGTGAGAGACCTGGAAGAAGCTCCTAGCTCCTGGCTTCAGATCAGTGCAGCTCCAGCCACTGCGGCAAATTGGGGAATGAACCGGCCAATGGAAGATCTCTCTTTCTCTGCCTCTCCTTCTCTTTCTGTATAACTCTGACTTTCAAATAAATAAATAAATAAATCTTTTTAAAAAATAAAAATATAACTGCCAGTCAGCATTGTGGTCCAGCAGGTTAAGCCACCACTTATGACAATGGCACATGTAGTGAGTGGACACCTAAATTAGCACAACTTTTTGGCAGATAATATGGTGACATAACCACACTCTATGCAAATATTTTGACCTAGCAATTCTGTTTCTAGAAATATCTGATGAAATAAACACATATGTGAAGTTTGAGGGATACTGTACACTACAGACTCAAAGCCTATGCAGTTCTAGCCCTTATTTCTGAAATAGAAATCATCTCTCAGATATGTGCATGCTCTTCTCCCTAATTTTATCTTAGGTCTTTGCTCTCTTAAAAGTAGTGCCTAGGCCGGCGCTTCAGGCCAGGGCTTTAACCCGCTGCGCCACAGCATCGGCCCCCTATTTATTTCTATAAACCTATATATATATATAATTGTTTTCTTGCTAAACAGAAGAATAGGTATCTATTACAGGTCCTCACTATCTGAATTAGCTTACTGTCTATCACCAAATTATACTTTCCCCAGGTACTTTTTAATATAGGTTAGAAACTATGAAGTTCCATAAAAATATTAAATCATTCTTGAAAACCAGAATTGATATTATCTATTTGTTCTGATAAGTCAGTGAGGGTTTCCTAAATCTACATACCTTATTTTTTGAATTGATTATGTCATCAAATCAAAATACATCTTTTTATATATCACTAAATCAAAACATTGCCATTTAAACTGTAACATGAAGCTAAGATATCACTGATTGCCTTTTAGAATGAATGAACCAATACTCAACAAACACAAGAAATTACATGGGATCTTTTAAAAGTTCATGGAAAATGTGTACTAAGAAAAAACTATGCCTGGGTTACAAGGTTCTGGCACCAAAATAAACTTATCTTAATTCCATTTTTCCATGAACTTTCTAAGGTACCCTCAGAAAGGTACCCATTAAGGAAGCGCATAAGAAGCAGAAAATTACTGGCCAAGGGAACACATCTGCAAGTTATAATCCACATGCCACAACTCTATCCCAGAAAGAATTCCTAAAATGAAAAATGTCAAATTTAGCAAGTCCCTGACAAACATGAAGCTACCTTAAAATCAAGATGTAAGAATATCATTAACTAAAGTTCCAAGAGGCAACTAAATGGCAGTTAACAACATCAATGAATATGTAAGGGAACACGTGGAACTCTCAATTAGATCACTACTCTTCCTCTCCTCGATTATTAGAGTCCCTGTGTTTACAAGTTGATAGCTTTTCTTCATTAATTCAGATCTTCCTAAGTACTCTAATTAAAAATAGTTTTGGGGCCAGCGCTGTGGCATAGCAGGTAAAGCTACCCCTGCAGTGCCAGCATCCCATATGGACGACAGTATGAGTCCCAGCTGCTCCACTTCTGATTCAGCTCTCTGCTATGGCCTGGGAAAGCAGTGGAAGATAGCCCAAGTCCCTGGGCCCCTGCACCCACATGGGAGACCTGGAAAAAGCTCCTGGCTCCGGGTTTCAGAATGGCCCAGTTCTGGCCATTGTGGCCATTTGGAGAGTAAATGAGCAGATGGAAAACTTCTCTTTCTGCCTCTCTGTAACCCTGCCTTTCAAATAAATTAATAAATCTTTAAAAAAATAGTTTTAACTAACAGAAAAAGCTGAGGTTCCAAAGAATAACATTCAAATTGCAATTCACTTTACCTCTTCTTTGGGCCATCCTTTTTAGCTCTTTGAAGCTTGCCAATTACAGCCTCCTCACCTTCCAGAAGCCTTCGGTTGGGTGGTTTTGTTGTCTGTACGTTCACTGTGCTTAATTCAACTTTCATATCCTTAATAATATCCAACAAGTCTTTTTTCGTGTTCTCCTTTGTTCTGTCAGAGCTCTCTGAATTCGTCTTGGAAATCTCGTCGCTGGAAACAGACTTTTCATCTTTTTTGCTGTTGGCTACATTATTCGTGCTGAAATATCTTTGGATATGAGTTTTTGCCCTAGAAGATGTATTAAAGAAAAAAATGAAAAATATAGTACAAAATAATAAAGCAATAAATCATAAAAATGCTTCTATGCATTTTCAAACTGTTTTTAATTCAAGCCCTTTCTATTTGCTTTTGTAATTATTATTAATGGACATAACACTGGCAATTTACCATTAGCATATCTTTAAGGGACTAACCTTGTGCTACATATTTTCTGAACACACTCTCATACCCACATCAGACAGGTATTATGCCCATTTTGCTGTAAGCAAACTGAAAACCAGAGGAGTAACTTGCCCATAGTCATGTGGTGCAGAGCTCACTGAGACATAAGCCCCACCAGTGTGCCACAAATGCAGATGGGTGTGCTGACACTGATCACCTGGTCTTTGGATGGCCAGGGGAGACCAGGGGCTGCTGGTGCTCCCAAGTCTGTTGCCTCCCTCTATTTATGCCAGAATTCAGTACAACTACCATTTTCCACGTGTTCCCTGACACAAAAAGGTTGGAAAACACTTGCCGTGGTTAATAAATGATAATTTATTATTCTCGAATCCAAATCTGACTGCCAAGTCCTCGTTCTTAACATGATACAATAATACCTCTTCAAAAAGGTCATAATGAAACAATATGGAAATAAAGAAATTTCAAGGCCGGTGCCACAGCTCACTAGGCTAATCCTCCGCCTTGTGGCACTGGCACACCAGGTTCTAGTCCCGGTCGGGGTGCCGGATTCTGTCCCGGTTGCCCCTCTTCCAGGCCAGCTCTCTGCTGCGGCCAGGGAGTGCAGTGGAGGATGGCCCAAGTGCTTGGGCCCTGCACCCCATGGGAGACCAGGATAAGCACCTGGCTCCTGCCATCGGATCAGCGCGGTGCGCCGGCTGCAGCGCGCCGGCCGTGGCGGCCATTGGAGGGTGAACCAACGGCAAAGGGAAGACCTTTCTCTCTGTCTCTCTCTCTCTGTCCACTCTGCCTGTCAAAAAAAAATTTTTTTTTTCAATCAATAAGAAGAAATAAGAAGAAATACCCTGAAAATAATTCCTTCTGCAGCTAGATATGGGCACCAGTTTGAGACCCAGCCGTTCCACTTCTGACCCAGCTCTCTGCTGTGGCCTGGGAAAGCAGTGGAGGATGGCCCAGGTCCTTGGGCACCTGTACCTGCTTGGGAGACCTGGAAGAAGCTCCTGGTTTCTGGCTTCCGATAGGCTCAGCTCTGGCCATTGCAGACATTTAGGGAGTGAACCAACAGATGGAAGACCTCTCTCTCTCTGCCTTTCAAATAAATAAATAATTAAGTCTTTAAAGAAAAAACACTCAATTGCTGTGATCAAACTCGACATTGGTTTGGTGTGCTGGGCCTGGGGTAGGTGTCCAGTCCAAATTCAGGGCCTACTGAAAAGTTTATTCAACAGTAAGCTAAGCTAAAATGGAACAGAAAAGAGAATACTCAGTGGCCAGGGCTGCCATTCTGCTCTTTGTAAAATACATTTATGAAAAAGAACATGAACGATGGCAGCTATTTCTGAACCATGTAAAAGACTGTGTAAGCAGTCCAAGTATCTAATTTTATTCTGTGAGATTAAAGCCCTTTTTTGGTATCATATTAAAAAACATTTAAAACTAACAAATGTGATATAATCTATAAGGTCATTCATTAAATATAGTGAATACTTTGCTCTGTGCCGGGCCCTCGAGGCACTGATGGTACACTGGTAAATAAGAATGTCATGGTCCCCACTTTCATGAAGTGCTTGTCAAGTGCAAAACCAATTCAAGAGCTCCTCTCACAATGATTTGCCATTTTCCACCATCTGTATGGAATGGACCTTCTACCACAAATTGATAGTTTTGTACTCTAAAAACTATGACACATTTAAAAACCTTTCTCAAATCTATTCCTCCACGATCGGCAACCACGCCAACACGCTCTCCACCACGCCACCAGCACCTCATCATGTCACGTCTTACTAACTCTACCCGTGCAATGTTCTTCCTGCCTGCAGCTGATAATTGCAGTCCTGTTGCTACCAACCTGCTTCAGCGCTGTATGTACACAAATGGGCCCCAAACAGCCTCGCATGGAATATATGCAGAGTGATTGGGTTTTCATAGTCATGAGGCTCTTAGAGGATAAACAACAAAAGAAGTATGCTACCCACAACTCCTTTTTGTCCTGGCTAACTCCAACCAGTGGTCTCCATCAGCTGCAAGCACAAAGGTTACAGAATCTCTCCTACAATGGTTAGGAATCCCCATTTGCTTCCCCAGCAAGTACTTGTTATATAAACGGAGCACTCTGTGCCCGCCTCACGACTTGAGCTGTTCATTTTTCTTGAATTACCTACTCGGTGGAACTATATGGCCCAGGGGGTTCTTATTAGGGTGTTAACATCCTACTGACACACCATAAGCACTGTCAATCATGAACCAAAATATAAATGAAGGCGGCAGGACTGAGTCCATGAAAGGAGCCTTAGGAGGCGAAAATGAAACAGCTTCGTTTCTGGGATCCATTTAATAGGCTGAGAAAGGAATGGAAGATTGAAGCACGGCGTGGAGGAAAAAAAAAAAAAGCACCTGACAGCAGATGTTCCCCACGCGCCGCGACCTTGGATAAGTCATCTCATCTTTCTGGGATTTCTGTTTGATAGGATTTAACGCAACGGCTTCTAAGATCCTGCAGGTTCCAACAAGGACCCCAGGAAGCCGGAGAAGGTATGAGGGCGAGGATGGGGTTGCCTTAAGACTCGCGTGGCCAACAGCGCTGAAATACTGTACCTAACCGTTCCGGGCGGAGCAGCGAGCAGCACGACCGCAATCGCAGATGCCTCCGGGCTTCCACAGGACAAAGGGAGGCGGGTGAGGGGGCGAAGAGGCAGGAACGTCGAGACCCTAGGGAACATAGCCGACAGAGAAATTGAGCAGAGAGCACCCGGAATAGTGCGTCCGTCGCCAAACACTTCCCCCGTCCTACCTTCCGTTCCCCAGCCCTCGTCTTTCGTACTCCGGAGGGCAACAGAGTCCAGTAACTGTGTTCCGGCCTCATCCGGAGCTTTCAGAGGACTCCACCCTATAGGCTATTTTAGTCCCAGAGGTGGAGCCGGTGTCTGAGGTCAGGCAGGGTGAGCTGAGCTGGGCGGGACTGGTGAGCAAGCTGAGGGAGTAATCACTTGCGCAAAAACTGCTGAGCTAACCCTATTTTGCATTGCTTTGGGAGAAAAAGACCCGCAGAGTTCACTATGTTCTCAAAAGGCTTGGTGACCATCAAGGAGGTTTTTTTTAAAAATACGTTATGACAAGGTGACCGTAATGAACACAAATTTTCCCTTTTTGACATTCTAACTTTGTAACTAGCCTTAATCTGCAACTGTAAAGAAAATACATCCTCCTTTCTGTTTCATATTTTAATTAAAGCTAACCTCTGATCTTGGGCTAATCAGAAAGCCACCTGCCACAACCCAGCTGCTCCACTTCTGATCCAGCTCCCTGCTAATGTGCCTGGGAAAGCAGCAAAAGACGGCCCGAGTGCTTGGGTCCCTGCATCCACATGGAAAACCCAGAAGCTCCTGGCTCCTGGCTTCAGCCTGGTCCAGTCCTGGCCTTTGTGGCCATCTGGGAAGTGAACCAGCTGATGGAAGAGCTCCCTACCTCTCAACTCCGACTTTCAAATAAATAAATAGTTTTTTAAAAAAATGTAAAACCATAACCTGTGGGGTTACCCAGAGCAATCTTTATGAATGACAAAAATGATGCCTAAAAATGGAAAATGCTTTTCTTTCTCCAGTCATTTTCTCCCAGTGCCCACCTTGACATGCATTTTCTAGAAACAAAGCACCTTTTGGGACAAGGCTGCAAAGGAACTGAAATTGGTCCTGGTGCAGACGCATGACTTTGACCTAGATGTCTCATGGAATTCCGCATTAACTCAGTCAGCCTTTTGTGACAATGCTATTTCTCTGACCTCTTGTCCTATCTTTCCCCTCCCCTTGCTGACTAAGTTCCAGCAGCTGGGGCCTTCTCTCTGTTCTTGGTACAGGCACCACACAGCCCTGCCTTAGGCCTGTTAGCTTCAGTATGGGATATTCTTTTCCCTGGAATATTCTTCCCAAAGACTGCCCCATGATTGGCACATGTATGTCATTCTAGTTTAGCCCTGCAGTCACTTTCTCAGCAGTGCCCCATATCTGATGGAGCCAACCTTTTCATGCTGCCATGTTGCCCTGTTTCCTTGTTCCTGGCATTCAGCACTGTCTGAAATAATCTTTCCATCCACTTAGCTCATTCACTGAGTGCATGATAGTAGGCTCTGCTTTATGCACTTTGGCATTTCAGTGTACAGACCAAATGCATTCCCTGCCCTCATGAAATGTCTAGATCTTGTTACTCATTTTGTTAAAGATTTATTTATTTATTTGAAAGGCAGAGTTACAGTGGAGTGGGGGAAGAGACAGAAAGAGAGGTCTTGGGACTGGTGCTGTGTCACAGAGGGTTAACTCTGGCCTGAAGTGCCAGTATCCCATATGGGCGCCAGTTCGAGACCCGGCTGCTCCACTTCTAATCCAGCTCCCTGCCTGGGAAAGCAATAGAAGACGGCTCAAATCCTTGGGCCCCTGCACCCACGTGGGAGACCAGGAAGAAGCTCCTGCCTCCTGGCTTCGGATCGACGCAGCTGTGGTCGTTGCAGCCAATGGGGGAGTAAGGCAGCAGCTTACTGCCTCTCCTCTCTCTGTGTAACTCTGACTTTCAAATAAATAAATAAATCTTAAAAAAAAAAAGAAAGAAAGAGAGGGTCTTCCATCCACTGGTTCACTCCCCAAATGGTTGCAAAGGTTGCAGATGGACCAAACCAAAGTCAGGAGCCAAGAGCTTCTTCCATGTCTCCTACATGGGTGTAGGGGTCCAAGTACTTGGGCTAGCTTCCACTGCTTTCCAAGGTGTATTAGCAGGGAGCTGGATTGGAAGTGGAACAGCCAGGATTCTAATTGGCACCCATAGGGAATGCTGATGCCGCAGGCAGCTGCTTTACACACTACACCCCAGCGCTGGCCCAGTTGTTACTCATTTTGTTTATTTATTAACTGTCGGCTTTCCCCTAGAATATAAGCTATCTGAGGAAAGAGGTGCTGGTCAGCCTTGTCCACTTCTTTGTTCCTAGAGTCTAGAAAAGTTCCTGGTACCTCATTCACAATCAGTATTTACTGAATGAATGAATGAATGAATGCTCATATTTTTATTAGAGGACACAACTTTATTTTTTGTTGTTTTAAAGATAAAATTTATTTGAAAAGCAGAGTTAAATAGAGAGGATCACACACACACACACACACACACACACACCACAGAGGAAGAGAAAGAGAGAAAGATCTTCCATCTACTGGTTTAATCTCCAAATAGATGCAATGGCCAGGACTGGGCCAGGCTGAAGCCAGGAGCCAGGAACTTCTTCCAAGTCTCCCACGTGGGTGCAGGGGCCCACGCACTTGAGCCATCTTCGTCTGCTTTCCCAGGCCATTAGCAGGGAGCTGGATCAGAAGTGGAGCAGCTGTGACTCAAACTGGTGTCCATATGGGATGTCGGTGCTGCAGGCAGTGGCTTAACCTGTTATTACACTGCGCCGGCCCCAGAGGGCATAACTTTTTAAATTCTTTATGTGGTTATGAAATTATTGCATTTAGTCGTTGCTCAATTATTTAAAAAGAGACAAATAAGGAAACCGTTATTCAAATAATCAATAATAACAGTAGCTAGCATTTATTTGTTACTTCCTAGCCTAGACATTGTAATCTGTACTTATCTGTGTTATCGGCATAAAATTCTCATTTTAAGCTGTGGAATTTGACGCTTACTGGAGCTTCAACCTTCACCAAGCTGAAAAGTAGGAGAGTCAGGCTTCAGGGGCTGGGTGATCCAACTCCAGAATCTTAACCCCTCTCTGAGCCACCTCCCATTAGGCTTGTTCACAACGCAAAGAATGTCTATGCGACTCAACAGCTTCCCCTACTGCCCTTTGAATAAACTACACTCCCTTCAAAATCAGCCCTGTCTGCTTGCAAACCCTTCTCCTGACACCTCTCCTTCTGGCTTGCACTGAGCCAACACAGCCCCCAGACTTAGCCAGGCCTTCTTTACCCTCCTAACAATTGTACAGTTTGTTCCCTCTGTCTGTCCTGCCTACCTCCTACTCCTACCACAAGGCTCAGCGTCACCTCCTGCAGAAGTCTTTTCTGGTCTCCAGGCTGGGTTGGGTGACCTCTCCTGTTACTCCCGGCACCCTGAAGGTGGCGCTGGGATTCTCAATGAAACCGTCTTCCCTCACTGCATTATAAGGTACTTGGGAGATGACAGTTTGCTTTCCATCTCCAAATTTCCAGGGCTTAGCTTGGAACAGAGATGTTGACGAAATACTTTGAATAATGTCTCTTCACATGAAGATTAGCCATGTTTTACCACTTTAGGCAAAGTGGGAAAGAATCCTACTGCAGAGAAGAGCTTTAGAATGTGGCCCACATTGGTGCAAATATATGGAGCATAAAAATGGCAATCTGAGCATCAGCTGGTAGAACCATCTCCCCTCCTCATCCTTCCCCTAAAGGATCTTTTCTACTCCATGCAGCTGGGAGCAGCAATGAGGCTGATTTTCCTTGCAGGTGTCTGACTCCAGAGCCTGTATGCTAATCGCTGGGCTATGGTGTCCTGGGCCTTTGAAAGAACACATATAGCCTTTTATTTGTGTGACCTTTTGGTGGTTGTGTCTGGCTGTGATTTCCCAGAATAATTAACTTAATGAAATCAATTTTTAAAAATCATTTATTTTCACTTAATTTGAAAGGCAGAGAGACACAGAGACAAAGAGACAGACAGGCAAAGGGAGATCCTCCATCTGCTGGTTTACTCCCCAAATGCTCACAATAGCCAGGGCTGGGCCAGGCTGAATCCAGGAGCCCAGAACTTAATCCAGGCCCCCTACATGGGTGGCAGGGACCCAAGTATTTGAGCCATCATGTGCTTTCTACCAGGATGTGCACCAGCGGGAAGCTGGATGAGAAGTGAAGGAGCTGGGACTCATGCCAGGTGCTATGACATGGGATGTGAGCATCCCAGGCAGCACCTTAACCACCATGAAAGCACTTTTTAAAAGTTTATAACTGGGGATGTCGGCGCTGTGGTGTAGCACGTAAAGCGGCCGCCTGTAGTGCCAGCATCCCATATGGGCGCTGGTTGGAGATTCAGCTGCTCCACTTCCTATCCAGCTCTCTGCTCTGGCCTGGGAAAACATTAGAAGATGGCCCAAGTCCTTGAGCCCCTGCACCCACGTGGGAGACCTGGAGGAAGCTCCTGCCTCCTGGCTTCAGAGTGGTCCAGCTCCGGCTTTTGGAGCCATTTGGGGAATGAACCAGTGGATGGAAGACTTCTCTTTCTCTCTCTCAGTCTCTGCCTCTGTGTAACTTTGCATTTCAAATAAATAAATAAGCCTTTAAAAATTTTATAAGTGGTTAAATATCTAGTGATGAGTGCCATATAAATATTTAAATGCAGTGTGTCTAAATTCAGATTTTTTTTTACTGGAGAAAAATGCTTGTAACATAATGATATGATAACATATTTTGGATGTAGGAAATAACCATGGAAGCTGACATGACATTATAATGATTTGTATACGGGCTGGTGCTGTGGTGTAGTAGGTTAAGCCTACGCCTGCAATGCTGGCATCCCATATGGGCACCAGTTCAAGTCTCGGCTGCATCCAACTCCCTGATGATGGCCTAGGAAAGCAATGGAAGATGGCCCAAATGCTTTGGTCCTTGCACCCATGTGGGAGACCTGGAAGAAGCTCCTGGCTCCTGGCTCCTGGCTTCAAACTGGCCCAGCTCCAGCCATCGTAGTTATTTAGGGAGTGAACCGGCGGAGGGAAGATCTCTTTCTCTGTCTCTCTTCTCTGTCTGTAACTCTGCCTTTCAAATACGTAAATAAATTTTTTTATAAAATATTGGTTTGTATATTCTAGGTTAAGCTGAGGTCCTGTTCCATGGAATTTGTCAAATTGTTGCAGGTGGACATTTCATCCCCTCAGCAAAATGTAAGAATGTATTGCCAGGTACAGCAATTTCCATGGAGTGGGCATGCAATGAACAAAATTCTGAAACTGGTTGGTGGAATCAGTATAGCTGATTCATGAATTTGACATTTGAAGTTATAGCGTTCTAAAAACCGATTTAAATAAAAATACATCAGCATTATTTTAGTAGGGATTTAGGTTCACAGGCATATTGTACTGGAATGGCATAAAGAAACAGATGCTACTTCCAAGACTCTTAACATCTAAATGTATTCCTATACTTCCCTTTTATAATGGACTGACTGAGAAATTTCTGCTCAGTGGAAAGCATTAAGTGCACCCTGCCCCTTGTTGCTTTCAGCCATGTTGAACTTTGGCCATGCACCACTGTATGTTCCTAAATTCGTCAACTCATGGATCTTCATAAGACTGTAAGAGATACACACTATTCTTATTCCCAATCTATAAAGAAACCAAGGCCCAGAAAAATAATTTACCTAAGGCTACACAACTTCTAATGGTAGAGCAACTTGGTTCTAGACCCTGTTCTCTTATTTTTTTTTTTTTTTTGACAGGCAGAGTGGACAGTGAGAGAGAGAGAGAGAGACAGAGAGAAAGGTCTTCCTTTTCCGTTGGTTCACCCTCCAATGGCCGCCGCGGCCGGCTAGCTGGGCTGCATTTTGAAACAGAGTAGTCAGAGCATGCTTAGTTTTCTGATCCTTTATTATATACACTGATTCACTCCCCAAATGAGCACAATAGCAGGGGCTATTCTAGGCTGAAGGCAGGAGCCCTGAACTGCATGTCTCCCACAGGATGACAGGGGACCAAGTAGCTGGGCCATCTTCTGCTGCTTTCCCAGGCACATTTAACAGGGAGTTGGATGGGAGGTAGACTCCAAGTGGTGTGCAGGTGTTGCAGGTGGTGGCTTAACCCAGTGCACCAGACACTGGCCCCTGGCACTACAGGGGGCCTTGGCTCTGGTTCCACCTGTTGCTGGGAGTCTTGGACCCTGTGAGAGCCCCTTAGATGTGGCGGTTTGGAGTTTTGTAGGGGAGAGTTAGTGTACAGGACCACCCTGGTGCCTTCTATGGCTGAGCATGCCCTCCGAGGCATGCCCCAACCCCCTCTTTGTGGGGGAACACTACCTGCATCTCCTCAGGCAGCCCAGGAACTCCTTCTCTTCCTGCAGCTAGCATTGTCCTTCACGTGCAGGCTTGGAGACCACAGAGAACTCTGCTCCCTCATCAGGACACCTTCCCACCTGCAGCCTGCACCTGCCCACCCTCAGACACTTAGACCTGTGTACTCCGGCTGGTCCATGACCCCCACCACATTCTCCCTACACCTGCTTGTTGTGCTCCACTCTGATGGGGCAGTAACTGCATCCCAGAGGGCTGTAGGGCTGGCAGCTCAAGCGATAGCTCCACAAGTGTCCATCTTGAGAGCTCAACTGTATGTCCCTCCAGATTTTGGTGACTACCCCCCAACTTGATCTTGTGAAGGGGAAGGAATAGGCCTCTTTTTTTTTTTAAAGGTTTAAAAGCACGATTTATTAGAGTCAGAGACCTTTGGCCAGAGTGGCATAGAGGGGGCTACAAGAAAGGCAAAATCCGAAGAAGCTGAAGGTACTGGGGTTTTTAAACAATTTTGGAAAAAAAAAAAACCAAAAAGCAAAAAACAAAAAAACCTTGACAATCAGTCACTAGATGTGGACAGAACCCTTCTAAAGACCTGATTTGCAATCCTTTGTCCAGTCTGGCTTGCTCTAGATAAAACAACAAAGTCATCCAGAAGGGATGACTTATTTTCACAATAAACTTATTTTCACAATAAACTATAGCTTGGGAGAAATCACCACTCCCTTGCTATTCTCATGGTAAAATTGGAAATTCCTAAGGAAATACACCCCAGCTTCCACTGGAATAGGCCTCTTGATGCAGCTCCCCACAGCTTGTCTATGACTAATGACAAACCATCTTTCACCCCTCTAAATTCCTCTCCTACTGTTGGCTGGTGATGGTGGGAGCTCAGTCATGTACACTTGCAACTTTCTTTTTTTTTTTTTCTATTCACAAAGAAAAAGCTCCAGTCCATCTTTTAATTTTTTTGAAAAATTCCTGACATTACAGAACTAAACTGAAATGTATTAATATTCCACTCTTACATTTCCATGACAAACAGAAAAATTCATGAGCCAAAAAAAAAAAAAAAAAGAAAAAAAAAACCACGGGGAGAAGCTTATAAAACTAAATATGGATCTCAGCATTAACAGCTGAACAGAGAAAGGAATTAAAACACTTTTAATTAAAAAATCACGAGTGGATGATAAAGTGTGTAGAAACTGAAAATTTACAAACTATTTAAAACCTGGAATCGCTGACTGTTCAGAAACTACACAGATGGATCATGGGTGGTGGTGAACAGCAGAAAGGGATTATGGGTGAATCTGCATTGTTCTAGCTGCTCCCCATGCCACCCGTCTCCGAGGAAAGCCTGACATTGATTAGGTATTGAGCCAGGCTGATGCTGGCAGCAGATCCGGTGATGGTAACCTGCCTATCAGTAGATCCTTCTACTGTGTTCGCAATTTTGATCAGCGCCCCAGACATCTGACAGATCTCATTGATTTTGGCGCCTTGACACCCAATTATGCAGCCAATCAAATCATTTGGAATGGTAAGTTCATGAGAAGTAGTCTGAGCAGATGCATCCAGACCTGCCCAATAGCCTTTCACCTCTGGAGAGCTGGATTCAATGCCACTGAATCCGGTGTTGCCATGGGTCATGGGAAAATGAGACTGTTGCACTGCCAACTGGTGCAGCTTGGTCAAATCTGGCTGTGGAATGGCATACTGTCCTTGAATGGTATAGGCCTCTAGAGGTGGTCCCTCCAGGTCAGGGTTGAGGCACATGGACGGGGTGGTGTGGGGAAAGCTCGCACTGTCGCTGCCTGTGCTGTACCTGTCCTGACCACCTGCAAAGATGACCGGAGAACTGGACGGCTTGGGCCGGTACGGGATGGTCACGCCCTTCGGAGGGGACTCCAACATGACCACGCAGATGTGTTTGACACACTCAATGATGGATTGCGGGATGCCAGCAATAGTGATGGCCCGCTCAGTTGAGTTGGGGAGCATATCCCCTGCCACCTGCACCTGAGCCCCTGTACTCTCTCTTATTTCCTTGATCTTGCAACCACCTTTTCCAATGAGAGAGCCACACTGACTAGCAGGAACCACCAGCCTCAAGGTAACCAGAGGTCTACTGGCAGCTGTGCTATTGGTCATAGAGCTGCTGATGTCCTCTTCCAGTTTGTCAATGATCATAGCAAATGCTTTGAAAATGGCATTAGTGGGTCCAGCCAAAGTGATAATTCTCTCAGGACAATTCCCTTCTGAGATGTTGATACGTGCACCACTCTCCTCGCGCATCTTCTTAACAGATTCTCCTTTCTTTCCGATGATACTACCAACTTCCTTGCCATGCATAAGTAGCCGGATGGTGAGAGTGACATTTAATCCACCGTCAATCACACCGGTGTCCATTTCGAGCGGTGTTCTTGGGAGCTGGACTCTGAGTGGTAATTTGTCATCCCTCCGTGGTTGAAAAACACATCCTCCATGAGGCCGTCCTTTTGACAATAAAGAAAACTCATTTTTTTTTTTTTTTCAACGCGGGAGCTGGGGGGGGGGGGGGGGGGTGGAACAATAGGGGCGGGCGGGAAAGCGAGGGGGCCCGCGGGCGGGCGGAGGAGGAAGGGGGAAAGAGACCCCGGGCCGGTGGAGGGCGGTGGAGGGCGGGCGGGCGGGAGAGGGCGCAGGCTCCACTTGCAACTTTCATACAAGTAAATTCAACAATAGCACAATCTAGTAGATTTATTACAAAACCCACCAGGGGCAGGGCCCTAGCAAGAGCAAGGAGTAATTCACAGCTCTGGCACCTCACGGGGACGGTAAATAAAATACAAGTCAGTACTTGCCGTTAGGAACCACCGGGCCGTGAGAGTTCTGCAGGTGGTGCCTGCCCACTGCTCCAGCCCAGTCACCTGCTGTGTACACCAGGAGGCCAGCCAGTAGAGCTGGGAGTCTGCGGGCCCTTCAGACAAAAGTGATATCAGAATATGGGATGCCATGATATCACCATGTGCTTATTAATAAATTCCCAATATTAATAAGCCTGTGTAGGTTCTTGCCTAATATTCAGAGAATTCTAAATACTGGCATAAATGAACAAGGTTGAAAAATAAATTTTAAGCTTTTTATTTAGTGAGAGAAACACATAGGAGAGTGAGAGCTCTATCTAAAAGAGAGAAGGAAATCTGGATTCATACCGAGTACCAGGAGCCAGCCACGTGGAGGAGCATGCAGGCCATAAAGCAAGGGGCGGGTAGCCCGAAGGCCACGCACCCTGGAGGCGCAGGACAGCAAGGGCTGAAATGGCAAAAGGCCAAAAAGAAGGGCTGGGCCCACTGTGTTCCAGGCCTTTTATCCATTTCCAAAGGGGGGTGGTTAATTAACCTGATTGGCAGGTGGGCACAGAGGTGTGGCCAGACAGGGGCATGAGGTCACACAGGGGCATGATGAAAGCGTGGTCTTCCAGCTCACAAACCTGTTCAATTTTATCCTGCATGCCTGCCTACAACATAGGTAGAATGTCCTTCACAAGCAGGCTGTCAGCTGTGGCTGGAAAGCCTGTCTCTAGACCAACTGGCATCTCCCCCACTAACAGCTTCTTGTATTGCATGTGTGACCTTGCAGCTTTAAATCACACCTTCAGGGTGGGTGCAATCTTTCACCCACAGTTGGCAGGGGAAGGGGCTGAGCACCTGGGGAGAGCTGGACCAGCTCCAGGAGGCTCTGGTTATCTTGGGTGACCTTGCGGTTTTAAACCATGCCTTCAAGCAATGTTCCACCCAGAGCTAGCAGAGGAGGGGGCTGAGCCCCTAAGGAGAAGGACAGTCTCCAAGAGACCCTCACTATCTCCATGAGCCCCAAGCCAGTCAACATACATATATGAAACTTCCTGTCCCGTGTGCACCCACAATAGGATGACCCAATGAACAGATAGTAACACCTTAAAAAAAACCCAGGACACTTCTTCAAAGCCAGTGTCCCATTTGGGCATTCTGCCTGGTCTCCTCTATGACCAGACGCTTTCTCTGTCACTTGCCAATCAAATAAAAGTTTCTTTTCTGTCTAATAAAAGTTGCTGCCTCTTTGCAAATTGTTTTCCGGCTTTTTATTACTATACCAAACTGAGGAAAAGAACCCACGGGACTCACTCCGGCAACACCCCGATGACCGGTAATACACCAGACTACTTATAGTTCCCCACACGTGCTGTTTCCTGTGACTGGAACACTCACTCTGTCTGGGGAGGGCCTGTGGCATGCTTTATATAGGCTGAGGGCATTGTTTCAAAACTCCGTTCACATTCAGCAAATTTCCTGCTACAGGAGTAAGTTGTGCCTGTCCAAGACGGAAGCCAGACATCTCCACGGAGGCGTCCAAGCTCCAGCTGTCAGCTGACATCCACATGAGCCAGCAGTGGCTATGACATGGAAGGCAGCCATCAGGTAAAGCTGCTAATGAAGGCTCCTGCTCTGGAAAAACAGCAGTGACAAGGCCAAGGCCCCTGCACACAAGGGGCAGCAGCTCCCCCTGTACAACGCATAGCTGTCGAGGCTGGAGCAGGAGTGGTTTTCACAGCAGTCAGTTCTGCGGCTGGGGAGGGCTTTGTTTTCAAGACACTACCCAGGGTCCCCATTCAGTGACCATAGATAAGAGTGACTCAGTATTCTTTTAGGCAGCCCTTTTTCTGCGTCAGTGGGCAGAGTTAGCTGCTGCTGATCACAGCTAAGGTATCCTGAGTGATGCACCTGCGGATGATCATGCTCCAAACAAGGGACCACGTGCCTTGCAAAACCTTCCGTGATAAGGACATTGTTAGGAAAAGAGATGTAGAATAGAGCGGAGGCAGTGCACGAATTTACAGCCAGACCAAATTTATTCAGAGAAAATAAATTCACAGGGGCCAGTGCAGTGGCGCAGTGGGTAAAGCTGCTACCTGCGGTGCCAGCATCCCATATGGGTACCAGTTCAAGTCCCAGCTGCTTCACTTCCAATCCAGCTCTCTGTTATGGCCTGGGAAAGCAGTAGAAGTTGGCCCAAGTCCTTGGGCCCCTGCATCCACGTAGGAGACCCAGAAGAAGCTCCTGGCTCCTGGCTCCTGGCTTCAGATCGGTGCAGCTCTGGCCATTGCAACCAATTTGGGAGTGAACCAGTGAATGGAAGACCTTTCTCTCTCTGTCTCTCCTCTCTCTGTGTAACTCTGACTTCCAAATAAGTAAATATACCTTTAATAAATAAACAAATTTGCAGAGGTGGGTGACCAACTGCCTGTGTGCACATTGATGGGACACATGTCAGAAGGTTCTGACTCCCAGGGGCTGGGCCTTTTTAGATTTTAGGAGGGCTTGGGATGAGGTGGGGGTAGGGGGCAGCAGGGGGAGGTGAATTCCTGGAACTGGTCTTTCAGGTGGCCCTGGGGGTGGGGGCTATGAAGGCAATAGTGTTTGACACCTGATTGAGAGATGTCCTCAGCAGGCCTCCTCTGAAACCATCTTTCGTATCCTTCTAGATGGCTGCCCTTCCCACACCCTTCTTGTTCCATGCGGCATTCCCTGAATTATCATCACAGTTGGCCCGCCATTTCAGCAGGTTCCTCAGCTGTGAACTTAGCATTTGTATTGTATTAGGTACCATAAATCATCTAGAGATGAGTTAAATCATACAGGAGGATGTGCAAGTAATAACGGCATTATGTACAAGGGATTGGAGCATCTGCCAGGAGTGGGTTTTGGAGCCAAACTCCCACAGACATCAAGGAACAAGAGAAAAGGTTTCTTCCTCCTCTGCTTGGACTGAGATTTCCCTGGGGTTGGTGGTGGTTTCTCTCACTTCTAAATGTCAAGGACTTAGTTTAGGTTGACACAGTGTCTCCCACATGGTAGGTGCTAAAGGAAAGTTTGTTATTATAGAATAATGACTTGTAGGGAGGAGTGGGGATGGGAAAGGCTGTTATGAGGTGGCTATGTCTTGGTGGATGGCAGGGATTTTATCAGGCAGAAATGATGGTGATCATCCTGCCCAATACGATATTGGGCTCATAATATGATACTTCAGGCTCCAAACACAAAGAAAAGATACAGAGATGCAAAGATTGTTTGCCTGGTGTAGCTGGGTTAAGCTGTGTATAGGTGTTGAAATGTTTCATCATACTCTTAAAAATGTGCAAGTATTACAGGTTAATCCACAATTTAAAAGATTTTAAAAAATTTTGCAAGTACACTCACTTGCCTTCTAATTAAAAAGAAGAAGAAAATAATACATCTAGACTTCACACCAAGAGCACCCAGGGAGCAACAAGTGCTGGACAGGTTTCTAAAGACCAGTTCTGCTGAACAGGAGGGCAATCACCTGCCAATCTTCCTATGCAGATGTCCTTAACCAAGCACGATGAAGCACATATCACCGAGAAGACACCAAACAGCAAACACCACACCCAGCGCTCGGGTGAACTTTGTTCCAGGTCATGTGTGTTCTCCTGGCTCATTTGTTTCTCTAAAAATCATTTACTACCCCTCTAAAGCTGCCTGCAGCCTCCACTTCCCACCCCCTTAGGGAGACGTTATGTCAACTTCAACCCCTGGGGCCTTCCTTTGGGATTTATATTTTGGACTATATTTATATTTGGGGAAATTCTCTCTCTTGCAGTTCCCTGCACTCCTGTCTGAGTGTGTACTATCCCTTTGCTTTCAATAAATCCTGCTTTTCTGCTCAGCTCTACCTACATCTCCTGGTTGTATTCCTATATTCAGGAAAACAAGAACTTGAACTAAGCCTTGCTGGGGATTTCTGCAAGGGCAGCAAGGGCTCTCGATCCCCACAGCAAGCGTTTTCTCTTTCTCTCTTCATAATGTTTGAAAGCTACCAAGGAAAGTTATCCCTATTTAAAATGTCATTTGAGCCACTCTTTCATTAGTTGTATATCACCCCTTTTATGCTACATAGATAGAAATCAGAACCTATATTTATTTCAAATACAATTTCTACCTGATTCCGAAAAGGATTTGAGCAAGTTTTCAACAAAACTTATGTTAGCAGCCAAGATCACTAATGGGAGTCAAAGTTTTTAGCCAGTAGCCATTTTCACTTCTTTTTCTTTAACTAAAAGTACATTTGAATCAGAGATGTTCTATGGTTTTGACTTAATTTCAACTCCAAGAAATATGCTTTGTTGAAGCATACCTGCATGATATTAGAATCAGGGAATGGTTTTGTGAAATTATTTCTCTTTTCAATGTCATTAACCAGCATTGTGAAATTCTGATGCAATAACAAAGCCTCACTTTTCCACGTACCCAATCTGTCTGTTCCCTCACCTCTGACCTCTGTCACCACTCACTACAGAGCCAGTGGCATAGATGTCCCTAGCTTGTGCAGTCCAAGTGCAGCAAGCAGCTACCTGGAGAAGGGATGCCAGTGTCTTGCCTTGTTTGCTGCTTTCAACCCAAGACTGGAATACTATTGCTCTGACCTACCTCTACAAACAGCAGTGATTTGTCTCTAAAATGCTGTTCTCAAGAGGCCAAAGATTCCTAGATAATTTCCCCAGGACAAGAGTTGTGTGGACACCTTCTTTCTTTCTTCTTTATCTTTATTGTTTTTAAAGATTTATTTGAAAGGCAGAGATACAGAGAGGCAGAGGCACAGAGAGGTCTTCTATCTGCTGGTTTATGCCTTAAATGGCCACAATGACCACAGCAGGGCTGATCCAAAGCCAGGTGCCTGGAGCTTCTTCCAGGTCTCTCATGTGGGTGCAGGGGCCCAAGGAGCTGGTCTGTCTTCCTCTGCTTTACCAGGCACATTATCAGGGAGCTGGATTGGAAGTGGAGCAGCCTGGACTAGAGTTGGTGCCCATATGAGATTCTGGCACTGTAGGTGGTGGCTTTGCTGGCTACGCCACAGAGCTGGCCTCTCTTTTTTATTTTTTAAAGATTTATTTATTTATTTTAAAGTTACAGAGAGAGAGAGAGAGAGAAAGACATAGATGGAGAGACACAGAGAGAGATCTTCCATCCACTGGTTCACTCCCCAAATGGCCACACTGGCTGGGGTAGGCCAAGCCAAAGCCAGGAACCAGGAGATTCCTCCAGATCCCCCATTTGGTTCAGGGATCCAATTACCTGGGCTATTCTCTGCTGATTTCCGAGGCACGTTAGCAGTTAGCAGGGAGCTGATCAGAAGTGGAGCAGCCAGGACTCGAACTGGCACCCACATGGGATGCTATTGCTGTAGACTTTACCTACTATACCACAGTGTCAGCCTCAACACTTTTTTTTTTATTTTTTAAATGTTTATTTTATTTATTTCACAGACAGAAACTAAGAGACATAGAAAAAGAGATCTTTCATCTGCTGATTCAGCCCCTAAAAGGCCTCAAAGGCCAGAGCTAGCACAGGCTGAAGCCAGGAGCTCAGAACTCCATCTGAGTCTCTCACGTAGGAGACAGGGGGGTCAAGTACTTGGACCATCTCCAGCTGCCTTCCTAGGTGCATTAGCAAGGAGCTGGCTCGTAAGCAGAGCAGCCAACCCTCAAACTGGGGCTCCACTATGCTGGTGTTGCAGATGCTGCCACAGCAGCCTTGCGGAGCAAAGTCATTCAGAGGGGTCCCTGATGTTGTTATTCTATGATGGGGATGTACAAAAGGTTAAGGGATTCACTAAAGGTCACAGGGACTTTTACACAAGTATCTGGGCTTGTGTTCTAACCTATATTAGGAGAACTGAGGCCATCCTCAGTTATATTTTCCTTGAGTCTCCTTTTTCCTAGCCTGCTAAAGCCACAGCCCCAGGGCACAGAGCCAGGCCCTCAGCCCCCCAGGCTGCTATTAATGCAGGTTCTGCTGCAAGACCTCTTCCCTGCCTCTTAAGCTTGTCACATGTCACTCTGGGCAAGGCATCTAAAATCCCTGGCTTATTTCTGTAATTCAACCACTGTCTAGAAGCTTGCATTCTGAAGCACTGGTTCTGATAAGGGCCTCATTATCAGGTCATGGCACCTTCATAGCATCACTTTGGACTAGGTCACTGAAATAAATTAGTTTATTCCAGGTGTATAATAGTGTACTTAAATATTTTCAGTTATTTAATAAAATACCAAAGAATTGTAGTTACCACCTATAGAATTCATGATGAGGGGCCAGCGTTATGGCAGTGAGTTAAGCCCTGCCTGTGACACTGGTTCGAGTCCCAGATGCTCCAATTCTGATCCAGAACCCTGCTAATGTGCCTGGGAAAGCCGTGGAGAATGGCCCAAGTGCTTGGGTCCCTGTACCCATGTGAGAGACCCACTAAAGAGGCTCCTGGCTTTCTAGCCATTCGGGGAGTGAACTAGTAGATGGAATATCTCTCTTTCCCGCTGCCTTTTAAATAAATAAATCAATCTTAAAAAAAAAAAAACAGAAACTAAAGCCAACTTGCTTTAAAGTTTTCAACAGACTACTTTCTGGAATGGCACTGGTGTGTCAAGATTTCCTCTGGGGAGGGGAATTGGGAGTTACTATTATTTGCTGCAGTAAGTGGACTTTTTTTTAAAAAAGATTTATTTATTCATTTGAAAGGCAGAATTACAGAGGCAGAAGCAGAGAGATGGCCTTCCACCTGTTGGTTCACTCCCCAGATAGCTTCAATGGCTGGAGATGGCGCCAATCCGAAGCCAGGAGCCAGGAGCTTCATCTGGGTCTCCCAAGCAGGTACAGGGGCCCAAGGACTTGGGCCATCTTCTACTGCTTTCCCAGGCCATAGCAGAGAGCTAGATTGGAAGTGGAGCAGCTGGGACTCGAACTGGCGTCCATATGGGATGCCTGCACTGCAGGAAGCGGCTTTACCCTCTATGCTACAGCGGTGGCTCCTTGGATTTCTTTTTCAATCACTATCACTGCAGCGCTTTGATATTCAATTATACCCATAATTTAAAATTAAAGTCTTAGCGGACAAGCAAGAATAACCAGATCAAAGTCTCGAGTGACACCTCCAGCCCTGCCACAAGCCCTGGAGGTTACCCAAAGCCTGCCCTCAGAGGGGCCCTCAGGGAACCCAGAGGAAGGGCAACCAGTCCCAGGCCACTGCCAGGCCTTCTAACTGTCCTGCTCCCAGGGAGCGGAGCCCAGAGTCGCGTAGAACGCGCAGTGGCCCCGCGCCGACTTCCGCTTTCCTGGCGCGCGCGGGCATGGCGGGGCGCGCGCGGGCTGGCGGCCCAGGCGGCGGCGGCGGCGGCTGCAGGGGCCCTGGCCCGGGGGGGGGGCCCCCCCCCCTCAGCCTAGCCCCGGGCTGCGGGGGCGACCCCCGGGGCCATGCAAATTCCGGGAGAGCGGCGCAGAGGGTCTTCGCGAAGATCGCGAGTGTAAGCGGCCGCCCCGACCGCGGAGGGGAAGCCTAGCACTGGCGGTGGAGCCCGAGCAGGACGCGGCCACGACGGCGCGGCGGTGAGCACGATCGGCTTCAGGGAGTCCGCTGTGAGGAGGGTGCGGGGCGCTAGGCTGGCCGGGGCTCCCGGCGACGTGACCTTCCCGGGCGGCGGGGAGGCGGCCAGTCCTCTGCACACGTGCCGCGGGACCCGTGCGCTGGCGCCGGCGTGGCCGGTCGGACTCGGCGGAGGCGCTGGGCTCCTGGCGCTCTTCCCTCAGCGGCCAACTGGCTGGGGAGCGTCGTCCTCCTCTGCCCCCAGGAGGTGCAGCTGGGGTGCCCCGCGGCGCTTCTGAATGGAGATTCTCGCCTGCGGATTGGGCTGCCGGGCAGTACGACCTGGAAGCCGCCTCCTGGACCTATTCCTCGCCAGTCCCCGTAGGACGCGCGCCTCGCTGGGCTCCGTAGCGGCCAAATTGGTTTGCATCCCAGCGCCGGGCTTGGGGCGCCCAGCTTTGGCCTGAAGCTGGAATCTTCTCGCAGCGCTTCGTGCCCCGTGGTGGGAAACTACGGCTTCATCGGGTTCTCCCATCTGATCAGTTCATTTCCCCAGGGACCAGAGACATGCGTGGTCGCCAGCGCCCCTGTCTCTCCAGAAGTCGGGCAATGGAGAAGTTTGCAAGCGGGGCAAAGGACGTTGAAAGGGTTGTTTTTCTATCAAGGGGTAGAGCCAACTCACCAGCAGTTGTAATGCATGCTGCTCAATCTTGCTGCCGCCAAGCCCTGACTTGTCCAAGCCCTAGCTTCGCAGAATCTGAGGTTTTGCACTCCTCCTCTGGGTTAGTTAGCACCCGGTGATAAATTATTTGAAGGGTTTATTGTATTTACCTGTGGCTTAAGGAAGGGGGTTGGAGTCAAATGGAACGTGTGGGTGGGTCTGATGTGCCTTTCCTTCCAAATTAAGAAGCGTCCAACCCACATGAGATGAGCACATTGAGATTCATCCGAAGGCCCAGGGACCTTCTGTGCGTGCCCCTGGCTACCCAGTTGTTTCCATCCTGGCGTATTCTGGAATTCAGTATTGGTTTGTAGGCATAGACTTTGAAAGACGAGACTTTTTGAGCTGAATCATTTCTTTTTGACCTTGGAAAAGACTTTGTCTTCCTTTGGTCTCAGTTTTCTCTGGAGAAAGAGGAGATTGGATCGGGACCCTGAAATTCTTTTCTAAGAAGATACCTGCTGTCTGCCATCTCCCTGAGGTTGCTCCTTCGAGGTTACTCGAAGTAGTGAACTGTACTCTGTGTCTAGGCTTCCCCATACCAGAAGATCAGTGACTTGTACAGTAAATTGTTCTTAGTTGGTTTATGAAGTACTGTGCTTTTGTTGCTGGTGGCTTGGAGTTGAGTCATTGGCAAAACGTATCTAGTGGTTGAAACACTTCTTGGCCACTGTAAATTTCTGCTGACGTTTAGGATGACGTCAGTGTTCAGAAGGACGTTGGTATTTATGTCAGATCAGCACCAAGCTCCTCAGCCCCCTCCTCTGAGTGGCCTCACTGGGGTTACTCCCCTGCTTCCTGTCACGAGGAATGAAAATTGTTCCTTGGGTTCATGAGTTAGTCACTTACATATCAGAATTTATTATTTATTTATTTATTTATTTATTTTTGACAGGCAGAGTGGACAGTGAGAGAGAGACAGAGAAAGGTCTTCCTTTTCCGTTGGTTCACCCCCCAACGGCCGCTGCGCCGGCCGGCGCACCACGCTGATCCAAAGACAGGAGCCAGGTGCTTCTCCTGGCCTCCCATGCTGGTACAGGGCCCAAGCACTTGGGCCATCCTCCACTGCACTCCCGGGCCACAGCAGAGAGCTGGCCTGGAAGAGGAGCAACCGGGACAGAATCCGGCGCCCCGAATGGGACTATAGGATTAGCCTATTGAGCCGCAGTGCCGGCATACATATCAGAATTTGAAAACCATGTAACAGAATTGGTTGTTTAATGTTTGTTAATGAGCTGTCCTTTTTTGGTTTTCAGAATTAATTTTATTTATTAGGAAGGCGGAGTTACAGAGAGAGGGGGAGAGTCAGATCTTCTATCCACTGGTTCACTCCCAAAATGGCTGCCACAGCCAGGGCTGGGCCAGGCTGCAGCCAGAGCACCCGGAACCCCATCCCGATCTCCTGTGTGGGTAGCAGGGGCCCAAGTACCTGGGCCGCTTTCTGGTGTTTCCCAGGCCATTAGCAGGGAGCTGGATGGGAAGTGAGGCAGCCAGGACTGGAAATGGTACATAGGTGGGATGCCTGCATCTCAAGGTGGCAGCTTAGCCTGCTGTGCCCCCTCCTTTGTTTTCCAGTCAAAATATATTAAGTCTGTTCCTTGACAACAGTTGATTTTTCTTTAAAGATAGAGAATAGACTTTAGTTTTCTCAGACTCCTAGGTTACAACCCAGTCCCACCAAATCAAGAGTTTCTGGAGAGATGCTGGCAGTTTGCATATTTAACAAGTGCCCTCAGTGGTTTTTATCAGATTTGGCTGTAAAGGCCCAGGTGTAGCACTCTAGAGTGGCTCTGTGGCCAGGTCTTCCTGGCTTCTCTGGGGCCCCCTGAAGCCTGCTGACTCTCAGGTGATGCTGGAGTGCTCTGTGCTGATAAGAGCACCATTCCTGCTTTGTTGAGAGGACGTCCCTGCAGTTTACAGTGACAGTGGCACAAGTGGCTGTTCCTAATTGCCTTTGTCTCCTGATGTTTTTATTATTCACCTAGTGCAGTTGAGGGGCCACCTGGCTGGCACATGTCCCCTAGCCCTGGCTGCCTGGGTGCTCCTTTCTAGACCACCTGTCTCGACCTCTTCTCAGGCACTTGGCCTGGGCTGTGTCTGAATTTAGAACTGAACCTAGTGGACACAGAGTTCAATGTAGGCCCCTGAAAAACTCTTCTGCTGCGGTCTGGGATATGTGTGGCTGTTACTAATTCGATGCTCAGCTTTAAGGTTCTTGGAAAGTGACTGAAGTTCTGCTGGGGGCTGGAACTTTGATGCTCAGAGGAATTTGGATCTGTCATTTTTTTTGGGGGGGGCAGTTGATCACTGAGGTACACTGACACCTTGGGCCCCCTTCCTTTAGGGCAGTGGGGGGTGTGTTTCCCAGCCCTCACGAGGGGCGCACAGGTGTCAAGCACGAGAGCTGTGGGGGCTGTGCTAACGGTGAGCTCTTGCCTCCTCCCAGGGTTATGCGGTGCTTGTCATAAGCTCCAGGGAGTTGCCCTTCACTGAGGCCAGCAGCATGAAGTCCAATCCCGCCATCCAAGCTGCCATTGACCTCACAGCCGGGGCTGCAGGTAATCCTAGAGAAACCCCAGTTCTCAGTGTGCCTCCACTACCTTTTACGCAAGATCGAGTGGATGTGGTGTGAAAATCTGACCATCATCACCCCAGAGGCAGTGTGCTTTCACAGAGGGAATCCATTTAACAGGGGTGTGATATTGCTGAGAGCAAAGCAGAAGGCAGAGTATTTATTGTATTAAAAAACATCTCAGCTGAGAGATAAGGTCCCTTGTCCACATGGCTGGGTTGTGGAGGTGACGCCAAAGCTGGCCATGGTCAGGGCCTTCATGGTGCAGCAGTCACACCCTGCTGTCTTCCCGGGGAGACCCCAGTTAGAGTTCTTACCAGCACAGAGAAGGAGAGGAGGACAGCCTTTAGAAATGAGACCAATACTTGACTGTGTCATAAAGCCAGGAAGGGAGAGGGCATGGATTTGCAGGGAATGAGCACTCTGTGAAGGCCGAGCCTGGCGGCCTGAGCCCAAGGGGAGACCGAGGTTACAGCACAGTGCAAGCAGCTCAGCCTGATGCTAGTGACACAGTTGGGCATGCGTGCTGCTAACCTGGTTCTCCAGGGACCTGTGTCATTGCAGGGCCACAGGGATGCTGGCTTGTTCGGGGTTCCCACACGGAAACCCTGCCCTACCCTGGCCTCCCATGTGGCAGAGAGCCTGCCGCCCACTGCTTTCTTATCCCAGGGCCACAGATCAAGTGTGACTGGGGGCCACACTGCCCTCATCCTGTCATCCACCCAGTTGCGAAGAAGAAAGCATTCAGAGCCGAACAAAGTATTTTTCCATGAATCAAAGGTCGGCTAATGAGGAAGACTGGAGAGAGCATATTACACTCTGATAAGGGGCCCTGGCTAGGGCGCCTCTCCAGGGTGAGAGACCACAGGAGTGTCCCAGCCACACGAGCAGGGAACTAGGCTGCCTTCCACCTAGTATCTGTCCCACCCTGGCCCCTGCCCCTACCTGGTCTCTTGCTCACTGCGTGCATTTGGGTTAGTCCCTTATGTGGCCATGGGGAGAGCAGCAGCCCCAAGCCCTGAGCACTGTGCCCCCCACCACGTGCCACACTGCAAGGGATGCCCAATGTGCAGATGGCGACACCATCTGCTGGCCCCTGGGTGCCTCTTTCCATCCTGCAGCAGGAGGGGGTTTAACCAGGCGAGAGGGGCTCAGCTCCTGGTATTTAATGTCTTCCTGGCAGCCGGTGGAAGATCTGGGGTCCGTAGTGACAGTGAAAAGGCTTCCCCTCTCCTGCTGATGTGCCTGGGGGCATGTGGGCACCCCTGGACACATAATTTACAGTCAGTTTTAAAATGTACCTGACTGGTGGTGTTGGGATCCTGGTGTGGTAGAAATTTGCTGGTGGTTTCCTTTCTTCCTTTCTCTCTCTCTCTCTTTATCTCTGGCAGTTATAAACATGGATCAGGTCTTTAGAGGGTGCTTCACCAAGTTTGTGGAACATGCATATTTTGAATAAATTATAAGTATGTGTGAACTTGAAAACTTTTTTGCACCAAAATACACTTCCAGTTCCATTTTCCGTGAACTTGAAGGGCCCTTGCATGTACTGGCACTGTCCTGGTAAGCGTGGTTGGTGTCCTCGCTGATGCACAGCTGCTGTGGGTGGGCTGACATCCCTGACAGCCAGCTTCTGTGCAGGTGTGTGGTGGTCGGGGGCTGGGCAGGGGTGTCCATTAGCAGCTTCACCTGCATCAAGGCATGTGGAAACATAAATGAGGAGTAGTAGTCCCACTTTGGAGGGCCCGAGTCTTTATTTGTTTTAGTTTTTAGATGTATTTATTTTGAAAGAATTATAGAGCAACAGGGAGAGACACCTTCCATCTGCTGGTTCACTCTGCAAGTGGCCACAGTGGCCAGGGCTGAGCCAGGCCATTGCCAGGAGCTTCTTCCTGGTCTTCCCTGTGGGTGGCAGGAGCCCAAGTACTTGGGCTGTCTTGTGCTGCTTTTCCCAGGCCATTAGCAAGGAGCTAGATAGGAAGTGCAGCAGCTGGCTCTCGAACCAGCAGCAGCTCCACCTGCTGTGCCTCAGCACCGGCCCCAGCCATCTGAGGTAGAAGACCCTTTAGAGATTGCTGCTCTGGTGCGCACTGACCCAGAGAGGGACTGTGGACTTATTCTAGGGTAGGTTACACAGCAAGCTAGTGTCTAGACAGGGCCAGGATCTGGTTCTGCTGCTGTTTTTGGTTTAGTTCTGCATCCCTGGAGGTGAAGGTCAGGTTGACGCCTCTCTGACCTGACTCCTTGATGCAAAACTGCTGGGCGTTGGGACTTTTGGTGGGCGGTGGCCAGGAGCAGAGGCGCCCAGGTGGTTTCTGGCCACAGCCGACTGTGGAAGTGATTAGTCTGTAAGGCAGAGCCGGCTGTGGCCTGAGGTGACCTGGGTGCAATGTAAGCGTGGCGTTCTTTGTGTCTCTCCTTTTCCTTTCAAACAAATCTTCCCCCAGCAGGCAGGTTTTTCGTGCAGTTCCTGTGCTCCGAAGGGCCGGGGAGTTGTCACTGTCCCTATCTGTGTTTGCTGAGGAAAGGCCCCAGCAAGGGGCCTCTTGCCCTCGCTGGCTTGGGTGCGGCGTCTGGCCGGAAGGTGGTTAAGGCGACTGGCTAATTATTGAAACAGAGCAGCACTGATCTGCGAAGTTACAAAGCCTTACAGAGAAGCCTGGGTAGTGATGCAGGAGTTAGGAAGTCACCACTTTGTTGTGCTGAGTGTGCCTTCGCAGCTGGAATATGGTAGTGTAGATCAGTGAAGTTTCTTCTCAATCAGAAACCACTCGGGGGCAGGCCTTGTGGCGCAGTAGGATAGGCTGCTGCTTGGGAAGCCCGTGTCCCAGCACTTCCTAATGTCCCTGGGAGACAAAGAATGGTAGCCCAGTTGCCTGGGTCCCAGTCGAAGATCTGGGTGGAGTTCTTGGCTTCTGGCTTCAGCCTGGCTGTTGTGGCCATTTGGAGAGTGAACCAGTGATAGAAGATACCTCTCTCTGTCTCTGCCTCTCTCTCTCTGTTTCCTCATCTCACCTCTTTCTATCACTCTGCTTTCTAATATATCTTAGAAACAAACAACCCCACCACCACCACCACCACCACCACCATAAAGTCTTTATGATGGGACTGTCTTTGAAACACATTTCCCCACCCTGTTCACCTGAACCCATGTTGATTCCTCCAGAGGGCTTGGAGGTTCTCACCTCTGCTGAGGTGGACCGAGGGGACCAGGTGAGGGCCTTGTGCTGCGTCAGCGGGTGGTGGCAAGCAGGAGGGCTGGCAGGTGCACACAAGGTGACAGACTGTGAGGGGCAGCCTTATGGTGAGAGCACCTGCTGTCTCAGTCAGCTTCCTGCACGAGTGAGAACTCACACCCAGAGAGCCTCATGGATTCTCTCAGGGCTCAGTTACCTCCCAGTACCACCTCAGTGGCACTCGGATTCCAGCAGAGTCTTGGAGGGGACGTAGGCAGATGGTTTATGAAGAGACAGCACGTGCCTTCTCTGTGTACAGATGAAGCATTCACTGGTAGAGCTCAGAAACTGAGGAGCCTTGCCCTGGGGTCTTCAGGGATTAATTAGGCTCATGTTTACCACCAGGGCCTCTGTTATTTTTCTGATAGCCATGGACACCACTGGGCATTGTGCTCTCCACAGCTTTCCCCTTCCACTTCCCTCCCAGCACGGTAACTGCTGTTTGTTAACTGCTCATGTAGCAGGTGCTGCGCTGAGCCTGACTCCTCCATCTCTGTTTGGTCCTCCCCTCATCTCGTGAGGTGGGCACAGGGGAGGAACTGAGGCTCCTAGGTTCCGTTGCTAGCTCAGGATCTCACAGCAAAGCCAGGCTCCAGCCCTGGGCCCCTGACCCTGTTGCCAAGGCCCCCAAACATGCCACACACTGAGCCTGGGGCAGCTGAGCACATGGCTGGAGCTCCCCCAGGGCGGGACTTGGGTGCGGGACACAGTGGGAGCTCGCTTTCAGTTGTTCACTGGACCGGAAGGAAGGTTAAGGGGGAAGTGGAGGCAAGCTCTGGTGTGGCCACGTGTCCACAGCAAAACAGGAGCTCGACAAGTCCCGTGTCCTGGTTCCAGGGGGCACAGCCTGCGTGCTGACCGGGCAGCCTTTTGACACGATGAAGGTGAAGATGCAGACGTTCCCTGACCTGTACCGGGGCCTCAGTGACTGCTGCCTCAAGACCTACGCCCAGGTGGGCGTCCGCGGCTTCTACAAGGGGACCAGCCCAGCACTAATCGCCAACATCGCAGAGAACTCGGTGCTCTTTATGTGCTACGGCTTCTGCCAGCAGGTGGTACGGAAAGTGGGGGGACTGGACAAGCAGGCAAAGCTCAGGTGAGTCAGGACGCTCACTCTGTCTTTTTTGGTTATTTGAAACACCATTAAATGGTCATGATTTTTAAAAAATACTTACTTGAAAGGTACAGAGAGAGAGCTCTCATCTGCTGGTTCACCCCCCAAGTACTCTCACTAGCCAGAGTGGGGCTGGGCCAAACCCGGGAGCCAAGAACTCAATCCAGGTCTTCCTTGTGGGTGGCAGGGACCCAGCTCCTTGAGGGACCCAACCTGCTGCCTCCTGGGCTGCACATTAGCAGGAAGGGGGAATTGGCAGTGGAGCTGGGACTTGAACCCAGGCACTGTGGCAGCTTACTCACTGTGCCAAATGCCTGCCTCTCTACGGTCATGATTTTAGTGATATCTTGAGGAGAAGAATGTTTCTTTCATAAGCTGCCTTTTGATTACAAAGCCATACATTGTGGTGGTATAAAACTAGGAAAGTGTGTTATGTGTGACATTAAACAGACTCTCTGGGACTCTGCCACTGAAGGGGCCCCACCCCTAACTTCAGTCCCTCTGGAGAAGGCTTCTCAAATGCCGGTAACAGTGCTGCTGGTCTTGTGGCAGAAGTGCAGGGCTAAACCAGATGCGCAACTCAGGACTCAGGTTTTGGTTTCCACTTCATCAGCAAAACAGTATTGGAAGAGGTTGCCTGAGCTACATGGGTTTGAGGAGAAACTTGGAATTCTAGGAAAGGTAGAAGCATCTGAGAGGATGCAGGGGACTCTATCTTTCTTCGGCTGAGCTTCCCAAGCATCAACCTTGGGCGTGTGCGTGGTCTCCCACTGGGTCTTTATCCTGCAGACTAAGAAGAATTCAGAAACCACTGGGATGTTTAGCCATTCCTCCTTTGAAGATTGGTGTACTCAATATCATTTAAAATTATTATATTAGCTTCCTGGTTGCTGGGGGGCAATCTCGTGGGTGGTCCTTGTAGGAGTTTGAAACCCTGTTGCACCTGCAGGCCTCACACTTCTAAATAGATTCCTTGTACACAGCAGGAGAAGCCCAGAGTGGCAAGATGAGCCCTTTTGTGTGCAGGGAGTCTAATGTGATGGGTGGAACTTATGTTGCCTTTTTTTTTTTTAAAGATTTATTTATTTTTATTTGAAAGATGGAGTTGCAGACAGAGAATGCGGGACAGAGAGATCTTCCATCCGCTGGTCTACTCCCCAAATGACTGCATTGGCCAGAGCTGAGCTGATCTGAAGCCAGGAGCCAGGAGCTTCTTCTGGGTCTTCCACGTGGGTGTAGGGGCGCAAGGACTTGGGCCTCTTCTGCTGCTTTCCTGGGCCATAAGCAGAGAGCTGGATCAGAAGTGGAGTAGCTGGGACTTGAACTGCTGCCCATAGGGGATGCCGGCACTGCAGGTGGATGCTTGGCCTACTGTGCCATAGTGCTGGCCTCCATATATTGCCTTTAGAATTTCTTTTTTTATTTTATTCTTTATGGGAGACAGAGATCTGTCACCCCCTGTTTTACTCTCCAAATGCCTATAACATCTGGAGTTGGGCCAGGCTGAAACCAGGAGCCAGCCACTCAATCTTGTTCTCCCCAGTGGGTGGCAGGGACCAAAGTGATCACCTGCTGTCTCCCAGGGTGTTTGTTAGCAGGAAGCTAGCATCAGGAACAGAGCCGAGACTTGGACCCAGGCTTTCTGGTATGGGACACAAGCATCCCCAGAGCACTCTGAAACTTGTTTTTTAATGGCTTGGAACTGATGAAGGTCACCCAAGGAGACAGTGGAGCAGGCGAGGCGGGCTGTGCCCTGGTGCTGTGTGTCCAGCACAGTGCTGGCAGGGAGGAGGGAAGGAGTAAATGAGCCAGACACGGAGGGTGGTGTGCCACAACAAACGGGCAAAATGATAGGTGGCTGCAGCTTTTTCCTCACCAGAGGGAGGGACCTTGTCTTTGAGACCTGGGGTTGAATTCTTTAGCATCCTTAGCAAAGACAGAAAGGCGAGAGAAGACAGGGAGACAGTAAGTGGCGCTGAGTTCTGGGAGAAGGACCGAGCCTGCCCCTCTGAGCTGGCCAGCCCCCTGGCCAGAGGACAGAGGACACCCAATTGCTGTCTCCAAGTACGGGCTGGGGAATACTACCTAGGGTACCTTGTAGGAATCACACTGGCACATTGAGTTCCCATCGTGTAGGTGTCACTCAGTCGGCCAAGACCCCCATGAGTTGTGCGGTGAAGAAGCTGTTGTGCTGAGTGTTGCGCAGCCAGCACGCTGATCTGTTTGGAGCCTGAGGACTTTTCATCTACCCTGGAGAACAGTGTGTGCTTGTTCCCTGCTGAGGAATTGCCACCCCTGTGTTGCCAACACTCTGACGTGTGCATCGCACGTGTGTCGTGTCTCACACCCCTCACTGTGACCCCATGAGGGCAGGAAAGCAGGCGTCTCCATCTCCTACAGATGAGGAAACTGAGTGGAAGAACTTGCACCCTGAGCCCCTGCCTGGTCTTTCCATCAGCCCACACTCAGGGCTCCGGCTGATTTTGTAGGGGTCTGATCTAGAGAGGAGGGTGATGAAGAGGGTGAAGAGAGAGCCGTGCTGCTGAGGGCCTTTTGTGAATTTTTGCAATCACTCTGTAAATATTTGTCTCTTCCTGGTGTTGACATGGCTCCTCGTGGTGTTCTGCCATGACCTTTGACCCGACGGGGTCTCACACAGTGGGAGCGTTCAGGTCATGTTTGTGGAGTAGGTGACACACAGAGTTGCTGCTTCCAACATCCCCTGCTGCATCTGTTGCCATTTAAATTTCACTTCTATACATTTACACCCCATGTAGAACCAGGTGCATGTGCACCGTATGCCTGGTAGAAGAAAGCATTTATTAGAAAGCCAAAGTCCACTGCCAACCTGATCTGGCCTTGGCCTTGTGCTGTAACAGGCCAGTGCTCCGTCAGGTGTCTGAGCACTTTCTGCGTCTTAGGTTGAGGAGCTGTCGTGGTTTCCTGGGTGCACCTTTGCTCTGGCAGACTCTGCAGGATCTGGGTCCTGACCATCCTTGACTGTGGCCTGTCAGCAGGCTGACTGCAAGACAGCACAAAGGACGTGAAGCTTCAATTTGAACAAGAGAAGTAGTGAAGCGAGGAGCAGGGAGTAGACTGACAACCATGGGTCGCTGTCCGTGTACTGGGAAGCTGTGTGCAGGTGCGCCTGTGTGCCTGGCTGGCTCCTGCCTCTTCCTGGTCTTAGGTTTGATTCTCTAAAGTGAAAAGGAAGTCTGTGTTACAAACAGTGTCTTTCTCCTGCAGGAAAGCTCCCCCACAAGCCAACTCTTCTAAGAAACCCATGTGTGTGAGAGTCTGCCTCAGCCCCTGGACAGCCCCCCTCACATCCTTCCATGGCACAGAGCCTAGACCACCAGGGAGTAGGAAACCAGGGCCAAGAGTGGAGGCCACCCTGATTTCCTGCTGATACTCAACACTGGTGAACCTTTAGGACCCTGGAATGTGGGAGGTCCCTTTGTGGTTTTGCTCGTAGTTTGGAGAAAGGTGGTAGGGGGCCTCTGCATAGGGCAGACAGGGGGCTTTTGGAAATCTGGAAGGGTGGTCCAGGAGGAACAGCAGGAAGCTGGCATTTAAAGGGTCAGGGAACCAGCTCCGGTCTTCCTGCTTGGGGAAGGATCGGCCACCTGAAGTGCAGACACTGCTCTGTGAAGAGGAAACACTGTCAGGGCTGGGGTGGGGGTGGGGGGTGTGTCTTCTGAGTGTCCTGAACTCTCAGACAAGTCTTCCTGGCTTTTCCTTACTCTTGAGCCTTCATCGGGCTGCAGGTTCAGAGTCTGCAGTGACCCACATGAGTAGGATGACTACTTCTTGGATGTGTGTGCATCCCCCCTGTGGTCCAGTCTGGGATTGCAGCTTAGCCATTCCACCCAAAACACTGAGTGTGCACATTTGCACTGCTTCACCTGCCCCTGGGGCCCTTGCACCCTCTTCTTCTCTGTGTTGCTGAGGTCAAGGAGGTCATTGGCTGAACTAGCGAATCTTTGCAATGCCATGACTTTCTGGTTAAAAATTTACCCTGGAAGTTCTGTGATGTGTCTGGTTGCTCCAGGTTGGGTTTAGGGCATGGAGGAATGGCTTTGGAACTTATTTTATTTATTTTTTGAAAGCATATTTTTTTTACTTATTTGAAAGAGTGGCAGGGGAAGAGAGAGATGAGAGCACGAGAGAGAGAGAGAGAGAGAGAGAGAGAGAGAGAGGTCTTCTATTTGTTAGTTCACTCTCCCAAATCTGCAACAAGCAGGGCTGGGCCAGGCCAAAACCAGGAGCTGGTGCTGGGTCTCCCAGGTGGGTGACAGAGACTCGAGCACTTAGGCTCTCACCTGCTGCCTCCCAGGGTGCCATGAGCAGGAAGCTGGATGGGAAGCAGAGGTGAGACTCAATCCCAGACACCTCAGTATGGAATGTGGAGGTCCCAAGTTGTTGTTTGAGCCTCTGTGCCACGATGCCTGCTCCAGAACCTGGTTTTACTTAAATCTTACCTGGCCACTACACAGTAGTATGAACAGTGTGTATTTTGGGGCAGTGTTGGTGGGACTATGGGAAAATATGTCAGTTTTTTTGGCTTTATTTTGTTTGCCATTGTGTGTATCTTATCCTGGGCTGCTGTAACAAAACACTGTAGACTGGTGGCCTAAACAACAAGCATCTCTTAGAGCTCAGGAAGCTAAGAAATGTTAAGATCAAGGAAGCACAGTCCCAAAGGGACAAATATCATATGTTCTCCCTGATCGGTGACAACTGACTGAGCACCAAAAAGGAAACCTGTAGAAGTGAAACGGACACTATAAGAAACAGTGACTTGATCAGCCTGACTGTTGATGAACAACTTAATACTTTATCCTTTTTAGTATTTTTTTTGTCCTACTTAATACTATTGGTTGAACTCTGTAATTAACACACAATTATTCTTAGGTGTTTAACTGAAAAGTGATCTCTGTTAAATATAAGAGTGGGAATAAGAGAGGGATGAGAGGTACAATATGGGACATGCTCAATCGGACTTGCCCCAAATGGTAGAGTTAGAAATGTGCCAGGGGATTCCAATTCAATCCCATTAAGGAGGCATGTACCAATGCCATCTCACTAGTCCAAGTGATCAATTTTAGTTCACAATTGATCACACTGATAGGTCTAAGAGTCAAAGGGATCACATAAACAAGACTAGTGTCTGCTAATACTAACTGATAGAATTAAAAAGGAGTGAACAATCCAACATGGGAAGCAGGATACACAGCAGACTCATAGAATGGCAGATGTCCTAAACCACTCTGGCCTCAGAATCAGCCCTTAAGGCATTTGGATCTGGCTAAAAAGCCCATGAGAGTATTTCAGGCTTGGAAAGCCAAGACACTGTGGCAAAAACAAACAAACAAACAAACAAACACCAAACCTTCACAACCTCAGCTAGGCAGCCTTCCCTTGCTGTTACTTGGAGACTGGTTCCAGAACCCCTGTGGATACCAAACTCCATGGATGCCCATGTCCCTTGTAGAAAGTGGTTAGCACCCACACATAGCCTCCCGTGGACTCTTGAGTGAGCTCCAGATTACTTATAATAAACTAATACACTATAAATATTATGTGAATAGTTGTTAACACTCTTAGGGAGTGATGACAAGAAAAAATGTCAACATACTCAGTAGCCATGAAGTCCCCCCCACCCCCGGATATTTTCTGTGTGTGGTTGGCTGAATCGTGGATGAGGGGCCTCAGATGCAGGGGCCACTGCACCTGATGCCTGCCCTAAAGCCATCTCCCAATGCCATCATGCTGTGGGGTTGGCTTCATCACGGGAGTGTGCTGGGGGACGAGGACATAAGATCCATTATACTGTGTTGAACTCCGAGTCTGGATGTGGTGATTGGGCGGACTCCTGTTGGGATTCAAGCGCCACCTCGTGGTAGCTGTGAGACTTTAAATGCTGCACCTATCATCCACCAAGTCCCCAGGTGGGGATCAGAGCCACAGCACACGCCGTGGTCCCGGACGTGCATCTGAGCTTGAGGGGTGGGTAACGAGTAACAGGCCTCCTGTGCTTCGGCTTGCAGCGACCTGCAGAACGCGGCCGCTGGGTCTTTTGCCTCTGCCTTTGCCGCGCTGGTGCTTTGCCCTACGGAGCTGGTGAAGTGCCGCCTCCAGGCCATGCACGAGATGGAGACTTCAGGGAAGATTGTCAACAGCCAGAAGTAAGTGCCGCCCCCAGAACCAACTCCGGCTCTGTTGCTTGGGGTAGCCAGTGTGGTTTTCACTGTATTGTGCTAAAATGAAATCACACATGCGGAAGCAGATTGATCTGCTCTGACTCTAGATGCTGCCGCCCCAGTCCCAGTTGATGGTTTTCTGAGAGCTTGTCTCAGGGCCGTCCCAGCCCCTAGAATGTCTGAGGCCCATGTTTAACACCCCGGCAGTGGGGATTCACGAGCTCAGTTTCCCTTTCGGCCCCTGCGGTGCCTAAGGCACCATCCTGAACCAGAGAGGAGCTGAGCCTTCCCAAGTGCCAGTTTAGAATCTGAGCCGGATATTCCATGCCCTTTCCCAAGTTTCACAGAGGGGTTCAGCCTGAGCACCCCAGATCCCATAGCTTTATCTCCCTCCCCAAGCCTTCCAGCCTACCTGCAAAGGGTCCGAGCTCTGAACACAGTCAGCAAAACCTTGAAAGTCTAGCAGCTCACCGGTGTTCAGGTTGCTGCCCAACTCAAGTATTGAGAGTGGGCCCTCATCACTTGCGAGGGTGCACACGCCAGACACAGCAGGACATCTGAATTAGAAAGTTGTTATTTCATTCCTAATCATAATCTTGACATCCGGCTGGCCAAAGTTCTGGTCGAGGACATTGCTATGGCTAACTCGAAGCCTGCTGGGAAAAAAAAAGACAGAATGACAGCTGTCTGTCTTCGCCCAGCAAGAATGGGATTTGTCACGGTGCCTTGTTTTCTGCACCCTTGACATTCATTACATCCTGTTTGAATCTGTCTGTCATTGCCTGGAAGCCCAAGAGTGGAAATCTTTTAAACAGTGCAATACAGAATGCGCGCAGTGTCACAGACAGCCGTCGCAGGGTGCAGTACTAGCAATGTGACTTTGTAACTGGTGCCCAGAATAAGAGAGAGCACATTAACAGCACGCGGGTCCTGCTCTCAGGTTCCATGGCAGTGATTTGCAGATGGTGCAGTCAGCCCTAGGTATCTGTGGGGAAGTGGTTCCAGGACCCCGTCATGGGGTGCTCCTGAGCTCTTACATACATGGCAGAGTGTTTGCATAGTGCCTACACGTACCCTCTCAGTTGCTCTAAATCACCTCTGGGTGGCACAATACCTAACGCTATGGCAATGCTCCATACCTTGCCATTTCACGATCTTGTTTAGGGAGGAATGATGAGACCAAGAGTCTGTATGTGTTCAGGACAGAGAATGCTTTTTCAGAGTATTTTCTGTCCTTACTGGTTGAACACACACAGGTATGGGAGCTGACTGAGAGGTGTACCAGAAGGACACAGGCACCCTGCAAGGAAAAGAGAGCACTGGCTGGCACAGTAGTGACCCCGAAGAGCACTTGTGGCTCAGGCTACGACTCGGATGGGAAGGCCAGTTCCCTGTGTTGCACTGGGTGACTCGGTCACGTTTGGGTTTGGTGGGGGGGAGAGGCGCAGGAAAGGCCCGACCAGTGGGGGAGGCCTGATGGGGTCCTCTGGAGCGCTCAGAAGGAGGAAGATCTTAAAACGCTTGTGCTGCTTGGTTCTGTGTGTCCCCAAGCAGAGGCCCTGCTGAGAACAGAGTCACCTGGAATGTGCATTCCTCGCCTTGTTCCTAGTCAGGATGAAACCTGCCGCAGTGCCTGCTGCAGGAGGGGGCAGAGTGAGAGCACGAGGTGTCCTGTGTTCTGGCTGTAGTACAGGCAGGCCTCTGATCTGCCCTGGTCACAGGGCACTGTCCACTTCCTCCAAGAACCACGTTCTTGGTGCTACCTTGTCTTGGTGTTTTTGCATCCCAGGAGCTGTAGTTCAGTTCTAAGTGTTTCTTTTGTCTTTGCCCTCAGCTAACATTTCCTCTTCTGCTCATTTCTCTGCACTAAAAGGAAAACAAACCCTCCACACCTACACATAGGCCCTAAAACACACCAGTAGGGTTGAGGTTACTAGGAACCGAGAAAGATAAAGGACTGGGCAGATACTGCTCTGTTTTATTCTTGCTGAGTTTAGACAACTCCTTATTGTAGTTAGTTTTCACTGACTCACTGTTGAAGACATGGCTGTCAGCTCATTGACAGCTTGGTGATGTGACTTCTAGAAATGTCTGCATCCATTTTCATGAAAGTTCTTTACCAAGAACAGTTTAGGTGATAGAACTCATTGTATAATAACTATCTGTGCCTCTCCAAGAGAGCTCCTTCCGAGGTGGATGCCTTTGTTCTCAGAATTCCTGGTCTGCCCTTTGCAAAATCAGCTACTTCCTTCCAGTGCGTACTCGGGGCTGCTGGTTGGATTTGGGTGGATTGCTGGCTTCCCCACCCCCTGTAACTGTGTCTCTTGCTCTGTGTCTCCTCCTAGCACGGTTTGGTCTGTCGTGAAGAGCATCCTTAGGAAGGATGGTCCCTTGGGCTTCTACCACGGACTCTCAAGCACTTTACTTCGAGAAGTACCAGGCTATTTCTTCTTCTTTGGTGGCTATGAACTGAGCCGATCATTCTTTGCATCAGGGAGATCAAAGGATGAACTAGGTAAATGCTTTCATATCAACAGCAGTGGGATAGGATGGTGTCTACTTCCTGGTGGAGTCTCTGCTCCCTGTGCCCTCTGGTGAGGGCAAGTCCATGTGGCCCTGGGAAGTTTCTGGATGGTGAAAGGCAGCCCTGTGGCAGGTGCTCACTAGCACCCTCCTCAGGACATGGCTGAGGCAGCAGGGTCCAAACTTCTTCACTGCGGTAACATTGGTTAATTGCTCTGGATCCATTTTAGGGGGAGAAGAAATAGCAGCGATTCCTCTCTCCGTGGGGAGATCCCCTAGAAGGACTCTTGTAATAAGCTTAAAAGATTGGGTCGTGCCAGTGCCACAGCTCAATAGGCTAATCCTCCACCTTGTGGCGCCGGCACACCGGGTTCTAGTCCCAGTCGGGGCGCCGGATTCTGTCCCGGTTGCCCCTCTTCCAGTCCAGCTCTCTGCTGTGGCCCGGGTGTGCAGTGGAGGATGGCCCAAGTGCTTGGGCCCTGCACCCCATGGGAGACCAGGAGAAGCACCTGGCTCCCGGCTTCGGATCAGCGCGGTGCGCTGGCCGCAGCAGCCATTGCAGGGTGAACCAACGGCAAAGGAAGACCTTTATCTCTCTCTCTCTCTCTCTCACTGTCCACTCTGCCTGTAAAAAAAAAAAAAAAAAAAAGACTGGGTTGTACATCTTGTGTTGCCGAATATTGAGCTGTGTGGTCCTTTTTTAACTTCTGTTCCGCCACTTGGCACCACTGTGTGAGGCATGTGAGTGGGTTTGTCTTCAGTGTCTCCCTTCAGTGTGTTGGGTCTGTCTGGGGTTAGGTGAGCATCCAGACTTGGTTGTTTTGGTTCTTCTGCAAAGGAAGAATCAGGGCTCTTGGGTGTTGAACTACTAAAACCCTTCAGGTTGAGAAAATTTTGTGTTTTGGTGACCTCAGTTCTCACCTACCATGAGAAGGCACTGCCATGCTGCTGGGGCTTGTGGTTTTTCTAGCCCGGGCCCCAGGGATGCTGCAGGGGCCCCAGCACTTAGGTGAGCACCTGAAATACAACCCTCACGAGGGCTTCCCGACCAGGCAGCCCCTGTGTAAATCCTACTACCCAGCTTCCACAGTGCCCTCATATTGTGCTTGCAGTGGTAGGAATTTTAGCTTCACCTGTCTGTAGCCACTATGCCATTGACCTCTGGAAATGTCTGTTCTTAAGACAAAATACCATTTGCTGTGTTTCTTCTCTAGGTCCTGTGCCTTTGATGTTAAGTGGTGGAGTTGGTGGGATTTGCCTCTGGCTTGCTGTATACCCAGTGGACTGCATTAAATCCAGAATTCAAGTTATGTCCATGTCTGGCAAACAAGCGGGATTTACCGGGACTTTGCTAAGTGTTGTGAGGAATGAAGGTGGGTCTGCTAATGGCAGAAATAGAGCAGTGTCTAGGGTGACACCCACACCTCTGCTAGTCCTGCTGAGGTTGGCTCACATGCGTTCTTTTCTCTATGCTTCGTCCCCTCTCTGGCCGGGTGTGGCTCCACGTTTATGTCTTTGTTTCCAAACCGCCCCTCCCCATATTTTTTAGCTTATTTTCATTATTCTTGAGAATAATGTGCCTGGGTCAGGGACCTGGCACAATTCTTTGGCCTAAGTAACCTGGATAGAGTTTTTAAGGTGTGGATTTTGTCAAAGGGGATGATGCTTTGAAGTCAACACCTCCTAGCTGATGTAACACAGACGTTATCACTCCGCTGTGCCAGGAGACCTGATACTTGCTTATTTCTGTCAGTTTGTTTAGGAAAACCTTCCATCACGTGTTGGTTTTCAGTGCTGTTTTCTGTATTCGTAAGTGTAAAGATCCCTGTTGTTGAACTGTGTGGGGTATCCCCACAGAGGGGATTGTCATGGTCTTTGACTGCCATTTTGTTTTCTAGGAATAGCAGCCTTATATTCTGGACTGAAACCTACTATGATTCGAGCATTTCCTGCCAATGGGGCACTATTTTTGGCCTACGAGTACAGCAGGAAGTTGATGATGAGCCAGTTCGAAGCATACTGAAGTGTCTTGGTGGGCCTGGATCCAAACACAGGGAATGAGGACTGCAGTTCATCTCAGGGTTTCGCGGAGGATGAGACTGTGTGGAATGAGTCTGATTTCTTGGGAAATCTGTTTTTGTCTTCCTTTCTTCTGCCCTAAGTCTTAAACTTTATGGAAGGACCTCGATTTTTACATCCTATAATTTCTATCTAAAATTTGTATTGAAATTGAAAAGCTGGTGCTCTTGCCCTTGGTAGAATGTACGAGTACAGGTGGCTCTTTGCTCCCAACCTCGAAGGTGAATGTGGTTCTGTCAGGGCACTTGCATCAGCCTGGATGCATTACATGCAGTTTGGGTGGGATTGAGTGAATGGAAACAGTGTGGTTTAATGTTAAATCTCAATTATCAACAGAAAAACCCAGAAGTGACTATTTTTCATGAACATGATTATAAATAATTGCTTAACCTATTCTAGATACAGGGTCTCTTTTAAAGTCTGCTTTACCTGCATACTATGCTAAGTGGTTAAAGTTATTCAAAAGTTTTCATATGGTATGTTAAAAACTAAAACATCCATGTAGATTACTAAGGGCATAACCTGCATCCTGGTGTGGTTTCCACATTCTTGCTATTTCTGAGTAGTCATCCTGGATTTTCCAAGATGCTCTCCTTCTACCTTAGTGCCATGTATTTTCTAGATGGGACCACAGCCCATACTCCAACTGTATTGCAGCAGGTGGCCTGGAAGATAGGGCCTTTGGGAAGCAGTGTGGCCTTCACCAAATTCCCTTCTCCCAAAGAACTTCCCCCAGCTGGAGGTTGGAGTGGTAGTGCGCTGGGGTAGGAGTGAGCTGCTGTGCTTTGGTGAAGACCCATGTGGCTGGCATAGGTATTAGCTACCGCCTCTGGCTTGGGTAGGGTCCATGCTGTCCTGTTGGCCTGTCTGGGATGGTTGATCCACTCTGAAACACCCACTGTCCTCTCTGTCTCTACTGATGGGAAACCCTTCCAGGGAAAAGAATGCCAAAATCAAGAGAAGTCTTTGTTTACTGGCTGGTGACTGAGGGGCAGAACTGGAGGATGATCTCCTCCCCTGTCATCTAGAAAGAACCACAGGCTTCTGCCCCATAGGCAGACCCACCTGCAGCTTAGCTCTGGGTCCGAAACTCCCCAGCATATGTCCCCAGTGAAGAGCTGCCTACATTTGGTAAGTGTTCTCAGTAAGTTATAATGATGACTGTATGTGGGGTGTGACTTTATAAAGCAATAGAACATAGAAGCACCTTATTAAACCTGCCAAATGTATGGTTATATCAACCAAAACCACCACTCAAGCCCGTTAGTCTGATCCCCGCAGGCTTGCTGATGGGCAGCTGCTCTTTGGCCATGTGGAGTAGGAGGGTCATTCTCGTCACCACTGGAGTGTGCTTCAGCATCCTCTGCTGCTCCAAGACCAGCAGGCTCTCTCAATAAAAAGTGTTGTTAGGCAGCCTGGGAGGCTGAGAGCCAGAGGCCAACACAGCAGAAACAGTCCTTGCCTGTATCTCCTCCATCCTGGCAGAATGGAAACATTGTGTGAAACCTCTGGTTTCCTTAAGCTTTTTGCTCTCCCTGAGGCCTCAGTGGCAGCTCTTAGCCATGGTGCTAGAAGCAAGAAGGGGCCGGCACATGGGCCAGGGGTGGGCCTGGAAGTTGCTTTCTGTTTGCTTTTTAAGAGAAAACCAATTTTTGACTTGACTTTTCTCTCCATACTTTACTGATCAGTAGCTACTTAGTGGTGCTTCCCATGAATGGGCCTGGATGGAAACAAAACAGCAGAAGGGGCTGCTTTCCTGCAGGAAGTGAATTGTTGTAGCGTCTTCCATCCCAGGAGCTCAGCAGAGCAGCCCTTTTGGTTTGGGGTCTTTGCAAATTGTCTATTCTAGGCTTACCTAAACATGCTCAGCAGAAACAGTCTGAGGCAGTGGGAGTAAGGCCGGGAGATCTCAGTCAGGAGGATTTTTTTCATTCTATTTTTAAATTCATGGTTCAATTATACCATTTTAGATCTGTACTCCAAAGAAAATATTGTGTTTAAAGAAATGTGTTTTGAAGAATTTGAGTGTTCTATCATTAAATTATTTACCTACTACTTGAGTCTAAGGCGATGTTTGTTTATGTGCTTTGTATCCATACTGAGAACCAACAGTCAGGAATAGTCAAGAGTGATGTATAGTAATGTTTCCAGGTGGTAGTTTTATTGCAAGAAGCATTTCACTTACTGCAAGAATTCCTCATGTAAAGTAATCTCACCATAGGTGACAAAAGTGTATGTGTGTGTACACTGCAGTTAAGAATCTTGCCCTAGTAGGATTACTCTCCTAATCTCTCTCCGTGTTTCTAAAGTGGTTAAATTGCTTGCTATTAACTTTTGGATAATCCTATTCTAAGTTAGTAGATTCTGTTAAAGAAAACTAGTATCACTGAAGTTTCTCATGTTGCTCAAAGAATTGTTCACTTTGGGCCATGTGAACGCAGTATCCTGAGAGATCTAAACAAGTGTGCTCTATATAAGCAAACCCAGACTAGTGTGGCGACTCACAACTGCCAGAATTTTGATGAATCTCAGAGGGTTGGGGAAGAGAAACCTCTGCTGTAATCTATTTCAAAATCATAAATCTTGGGGCTGGGACTGTGGCGTAGAAGGTTAAGCCTCAGCCTGCAGTGCTGGTATCCCATATGGGTGCCAGTTTGATTCCTGGCTGCCTCGGTTTCAATCCAGCTCCCCTTTTAAGGCCTTGGAAATCAGTGGAAGATTGCCCAAGTGCTCGGACCCCTGCACCCACATGGGAGAACTGGAAGAAGCTCCTGACTCCTGGCTTTAGATCCGTTCAGCTCTGGCCATTGCGGCCATTTGGGGAGTGAACCAGAGGATTGGAGTGCTTGCTCGCTCGCTCTCTCCCTTTCCCTGTGTCTGTAACTGCCTCTCAAATAAATAAGTCTTTTAAAAATTCCTAAAAGTTGGAGTCCCCCCCGCCCCCTTTTAAAAGTTCTTATAGTAGTGCAATTTCAGCACCCATGGCCCTTCCTGAAAGTAGTAGTGTATTTCCACCAAGAAAGCTAGTGTGGCAGACTTCAGTTGCTCTGATGCCCACTTTCATCACTCTTATTTATTGTTAATGGAAGTTTGAGACACAATTTGGGAAGAGAAATTGAACTTTGAAATTGCAAAGGAGGAAGTCAAAACATCCCTGTTGACGTGGATGACATGTTGTTGTACATGGAAAAGCTTAAACACTCTAGCAAAAAGCATTTGACCTGATAAATGAATACAGTCTAAGGTTAGAAAGCCAATACACAAAAAAGTAAATTTTTGCACATCAGTAATGAACTGGGCAAGAGGAATCAAGAAAAAGGTCCCATTCACAATAGCCATCAAAAAATCAAATATTTAGGTATAATTTTACAATTAAGTGAAAAATCTCTACCATGAACATTATAAAATAAAAGAAATCATGAATACACACACACACAGACAAATACACATACACAGACACACAAGTTCCTTGCTCATGGATAGAAAGAATATTATTAAGGTATCTTTACTACTCAAAGCAATCTACAGATTGAACACAATTCCTATCAAAATACCAATGACATTCTTTAAAGAAAAAATCTTAAAAATTCACTTGGAATTTTACAAAAGTCCCAAAATAGACAAAGAAATTGTGGGGAAAAAATTAAGTTGCAGACATCACAGTGTCTGACTTCAAAGCATACTACAAAGCTATAGTAATAAAAGCAGCATGCTACTGGCATAAAAACAGGCACATAGATCACTGAAACATAATAGAGAGACCAGAATTTAATCCCCATGAATACAGTCAGCTGATTTTTGACAAAAGTGCCCAGACCAGAAAATAACATTAGAGAAAGGATAGTCTTTTCAATAAATGGCAATGGCAAAATTGGATATAGAATGAAGTTAGGTTCCTGTCTGTTGCCAGATACAAAACTCAATTGGATTGAAAAGCTAAATTTAAGACCTAAGACTATGAAATTGTTACAAGAAAACAAGGAAAACACTTTGAGGCAATGGAGTAGGTGACAACTCCTTGAGTAAGACCTAAAATGCAGGCAACAAAAGCAAAAGTAAACAAAATGGGCTTGTATCAAACTCAGAAGCTTCTGTCCTCAAAGGAAACAACAGAGTGAAGAGACATCCAAAAGACTGGGAGAAAATATTTCTAAGCTACTTATCCAGCAAGGGCTAGTATCTAAAATAGACCAGCAACTCTAAAAACTCAACAATAAGAAAACAACCAATTCATTGAAGAAATGGGCAGAGGATTTGAATAAACAGTTTTCAAAAAAGTACAAATGGCCAACAAATAAGTGAAAAAATGCTCAACATTACTAGCCATTAGGGAAATGCAAATCAGCACCACAATGAGACATCACCTCACCTCTTTCATAATGGCTGTTATCCAAAAGAAAGAAAACAACAATGTTGGTGATGTTGACAGAAGGGAACTATTTTATGCTGTTGGTGAGAATGTGATTAGTGCAGCCACCGTGAAAAATGTATGGAAATTTCCATAGAAACTAGAAATAGACTTGCCGTAGGAACCAGCAATCCCAACTCCTGGATATATACCTCAAAAACATTAAATCATTTTATCAGAGATACATGTTCCACCATATTTATGGCAGCCCTGTTCACAGTAGCCAAAATATGCAGTCAACCAGGGTGTCCATTATTAGGTGACTGGATATAGAAAATGTGATAAACACACATGCATATACCCACAATGGAATACTATTCCCCTATTAAAAAAAGAATGAAATTCTATCATTTGCAGCAAAATGGTTTGAACTGAAAGACATGTTGATCAAAATCAGCTGGACATAGAAAGATAAATACCACATGTTTGCCCTTATACGTGGGAGCTAAAGTTAAAAAAAAAAAAAAAAAAAGGATGGAGGAGGAAGGAAAGTAAAGGGAAATGGAAAGGATTAAAAGAAAAATATACCTGTGTGTATTAGTCCAGTTGCAAATACAGTGTTTTGTCAAAGTTTGTATTAAACAGATCGATAAGAATTAAATGCTCCGATAGTATGAATGCTTCTGTGACTTTTAAAATTTGCTTTATATGAGTGAAGTTGGACATCTTTTCACTTGGTTATTGATTATAGATCTCGCCTATTTTTCTGCTGGACTATGGTCTGTCTATTTTTTTATTTTTTGAACTTTTTATTCAGTAGAACATTAAACCTTTGTAATATAAATTTAAAATGTCATCTCAAAAACTTTTAATAAAAATGAATTTTAATAAAAGTACTTTAAGTAACAGCAGTGAAGAAAATGTGATTCCCTGTGGCCACAGGGCTGTCTTCTTTATGGAGTTCCCCAGGCATGGATGAAGCTGGTCTGCGCAGGGCTGATGGATTTTAAAACAATTCCGATTATTCAGTATTTCTTTTGTCTTTTGTGTGCAAAAAGAAGTTACTGATAATTCTTTATTCTCTGTGTTTACCAAGATTCTATTACTCTCCTGCTGTGTGTGTGTGTGTGTGTGTGTGTGTGTGTGTGTAACTGAAGTTTGTCACATAAGCTACCTGTGCAGTGCTTGGAACAGGAGAACAGTGTGTCAGTGCTGGGGACTGGTGTGTGAAACATTTCTCTCCCCTGGGTTTAAATTTTAGTCTTTGCTGCTGAGCTGATGTTTGGTAACAGAGAGTTTGCAGATCAAGTAGAGGAAGAAAATAGAAATTAGCTTTTTGAAAATCTGAAGTTACAAATGTGAAACAAAGCAGTGTTAAATACTTTCCCAAAAACATGTAAGTAAATACATATTGATGAGACAATAAAATCAATCATTTGATATAAGAATTTGGTATCTCAAAGTTATCCAGAATTATAACCTAATGTTCCTTTGCCCTCTGTCCAACATTTATCTCATCATAAGGTGGAAACTTCTCATGAAGTATATTACTTAAAAAGGAAAGAAATAGTCAGCATTGTGGTGAGGCCGGTGAAGCCATTGCTTGTAACTGGTGTCCCCTGTTGGAGTGCAGATTAAGTCCCAGCTGCTCCGCTTCTGATCCACCTTCCTCTTAATGTGCCTGAGAAGGGAATGAAGATGGCTGAAGTGCCTGGACCCCTGCCATCCATGTAGGAGATCTGGAAGGAGTACTGGGCTCCTGGCCTTGGTCCTGTGGCCATTTGAGCAGTGAACCAGTGGATGGAAGATATGCTCTCTCTCCTTTTTTCTTTTGCATACTCACTCACTCTCAGTTGCTCTGTATTTCAAATAAATAAATTAAAAAAAAATCACCATTGACACTTTAATGTTTAATTTCTCAACTGTATACAATTATACACATACACTTACATTGGTATATGTGCCTACAAATAGATAACTTCAGAAAACATGTGTGGTACCAATTAGGAAGCATATGATGTGTGTTATAAGAGGAGGTACACTAAAAAGAGTACCAGGTACAGGATGATTAGCTCATGTCTTATTGCAATACATCTCGACTGCAAAACGTGGGCCGTAGATTTTCCAGGCTTTTCGTTTGTGTGGGTTGTCCAATTCGTTTTGTCTTAGATACAGCCTAGTGGGGGGAAAAGCAAGCACACATTACATTTTATTTTAGGGCTAATAGTCAAGCCCTGCAGTAGGCCTCCCTTGGCCTTCATGAAAAGCCTTGCTCACCACATTTAGAACCTCAGCCTTTTTTTGTGTCTTCCTTGGCTTCCTCCACATCTCTCACAGAATACCTTCATCTTCACTAACAAGTACCTCAGTGACAACATACTACCAAATCTTGTAGTATCTCTTTTTATGGAATTAATGACATCCAAGATTGATAAAGCATCTGTTTGCATAGATGACAAGTCCACCAGAGGCTTGATGTGTAATAAGATCCAATAAGAGTGCCAGCATTGTGGTGTAGTGGATTAAGTTGCCACTTGCAATGCTGGCATCCCATATTGGAGTGCTGGTTTGAGTTCTGGCTGCTCCACTTTTGATCCAACTCCCTGCTGATGACCTGGGAAGGCAGCAGAAGATGGCCCAATGGCTTGGACATTTGTTGCCTACACCATGCCTCTCCCTCTCCCTCTCTGTCTCCCTCTCCCTCTTGCTCTCCCTCTATGTCTCCATCTCCCTCTCCATCCTCTCTCTCCTCTCCCTCTCAATCCCCCCTCCCTCTCCCTTACTCCTCTCTCCCTCTCCCTCCTTTCCATCTCTCCCTCTCCCTCCTTTCCATCTCTCCCTCTCCCTCCGGCTCCTCTCCCTCTCCCTCCTCTCCCTCTCCCTGGCAGAGGCTTTAACCCACTGTGCCACTGTGCTCTCAACTTTCAAATAAATGAATCTTTAAACAATAATAAAATCCAATAATGCTGTGTTTTTTTTTTTAAGAATAACATTGGTGTTTTTGGCTAAACAACATCATGATAGTTATAAAATCTGCTTTGCCAAGTAATGTGTACATGTAAAGCTTACAGAAATCTTTAGAAACTTACATAAAAATGATCTAATGTTGCTTCTCCAATATGAACACATTGTTTCAAAGGACAAAACTGTACACTGTAGTAACAGCCGTTTTTCAGGAGTAGCACCAGGTTTCTCTATTTGAGGGACTTTGCTCATGTAATGAATCAAAGTTTATTGTTTGTTTACATCCAGATATATATGGATAAAAATTATCCATGTAATCCAACATTCACTCTCAAAATCCAATAATTGTGTGTTCATCACAGGAGTGTGTGTGAGATGTTCCCTCTGCTGTCTTCTTATAGGACTTGGGATGCCACTAGAGCCAGTTCAGATTTGCAGCAGAGTAGGGTTGGATGTGATGAATATCAAATTGAGCCACATGCAATTGCAACCACCTTAACTCTAACCTGAATAATTTTCAAAATATCTTTTCCTTTGTGTTGTAGGGTATGTTGATATCATCTTTTCACCCCCACAGAACAAAACCCCCAAATAGAGCACTTATAGATTCAGGAATGAGTTTCCAGATATGGGTAAAAAGTTCTTTGGCATAATAACCTTCAAATCCATTTAATAAATGCTTTTTAATAAAAAGTTTCCTGATTGAGTTGTTAGAGAAATGTGTAATTGGGAGACTATTAAATTATTTCTTGTCTCTCTTATGCTCTCCTCCTCTCTTACCCTCTTTCCCTCTCTCCCCAGCCCATCTGGATCCCCCCCACCCAATAATAAACCTTTCCTCTAACTCTGGTGTCTGGTGTGTTTTGTGGCAGCCTTACATCAGTACCATGACTCGGATCTAGCCTCCCCCATTGAACTTGCTCTCCCTTTGGGAGAGCCTCCAGAAATTGTGCCTTAGATTAGCACAGGTTGATGATTGCTCCTAAGTGGACCAGCACTTATTGGGGACCTGCCATATTTTGAATTCAAGGTACTGTGCATAATCATATTGAATTTCACTGGGAGTACATTATCACCACACTCAGGATCTGATATTAATCCTTTGTAACTTAAAACACAGTCCTCTGGCATGGCCCAGGAGGATTATGCAACAGTTGAATCTCACATAGTTTTTAAATAATCCCATTGAGTAAGTGCAATGAAGAGATTATAACAATTGGCAAAAGAATTGCCATTATACCTTTCACACATGCATTGAAGATTAAGCTGTTTCTATTGGATTTATATTATATCCATGACTGTTATTTTGTATGAAAGATGTATTGAACCAAAAGAAGAATGCACATTTGTTGTAGTATTTGGGGAGATTCTAAAAAGACATGTTTAAAGAAAAAATGGTTATTTTCATAGTAAAATTGATACCAAGAACTAGTTCCAGAGGATATTCCCTTTGGATTCTTTCCTTTATTCTTCTATATGATGCTCTAACAACTGTATCCATTAAGTAGGCAGCACTCTACCCCTGATAATACACCTAGAGACACAAGGAGGAGACTAATAGAATGTTCTTGCTTTGTCTTTTTGTTTCTATCAGGAATTTCAAGGATGGCATGGGCTTTGGGCATAGCAGTGAAGATGCCGCTTGGGACACCCACATCCTACATAAGAGTGCCTGGATTCAAGTCCAGCTCAGCTCCTGACTCCACCCTCCTGTTAGTGCACTCCCTGGAGGCAGCAGGTGATGGGTCCCTGCAACCCACATGGGAGACCAGATTTGAATTCCTGGCTCCCAGCTTCAGTTCTCCCCAGCCATGGCTCTTGTGGGGAATTGAGGCATAAACTAGCTGATGGGCTGTCTCTTCTCTCTGCCTTTTTTGTTTTTAATTTATTTTTTAGGAATACAAATTTCATAAGTACAATGTTAGAAATAGTTATTCTTCCCACCATACCCACCCTTCCACCCATACTCCCACCCATCTCCCGCTCCCCTTGTCAGTCTCATTCTCCATTAAGATTCATTTTCACTTAACTTTGTACGTAGACCTACCATATGACCTATACTTAGTAAATATTTCAACAGTTTGCACACACACACAAACTGAGAACTAGTATTATAGTTAACTCATAATGAAACTCATTGAGGGCAGAGGTCCTACATGGGGTGTTAGTGCACAGTGACTCCTATTGTTAATTTAACAACTAACATGCATATGTATGATATCAATGACCACCTGAAGCTCTTTTTTTTTAAACTATTTTTTATTTTATTTTATTTTTATTTTTTTACAGACAGAGTGGACAGTGAGAGAGAGAGACAGAGAGAAAGGTCTTCCTTTGCCTTTGGTTCACCCTCCAATGGCCACCGTGGCTGGTGCACTGCAGCCGGCGCACCACGCTGATCCGAAGCCAGGAGCCAGGTACTTATCCTGGTATCCCATGGGGTGGCACTTGGGCCATCCTCCACTGCACTCCCAGGCCATAGCAGAGAGCTGGCTTGGAAGAGGGGCAACTGGGACAGAATCTGGCACCCCTACTGGGACTAGAACCTGGTGTGCCAGCGCCGCAAGGTGGAGGATTAGCCTATTGAGCTGTGGCGCTGGCCCACCTGAAGCTCTTGACATGATCTGCCTAGGCTATGGAAACCTTTTAAGTCCACTAACTGTCAGTATTTGGACAAGGGCATAAGCAAAGTGGAAGTTTTCTCCTTCTGTTAGAGAAAAGTACATCCTTTTATGATGGTCAATTCTTTCTTCTGGGGTCTCACTCACTGAGTTCCTTAATGTAGAACATTTTTTGCCAAAGTGTATTAGCTTTCCATGCCTGAAATGCTCTCATGTGCTTTTCAGCCAGACAGGAACCTTAAGGGCTTAATCTGATGTCAGAGTGTTATTCAAGTGATTGTCATTCTGTTAGTCTACTGTGTGGGCTGCATCTCATGTTGGAACATTCTCTCTCTCTCTTTTTTTGACAGTCAGGAGCCAGGTGCTTCCTCCTGGTCTCTCATGCGGGTGCAGGACCCAAGGACTTGGGCCATCCTCCACTGCACTCCCGGGCCACAGCAGAGAGCTGGCCTAGAAGAGGGGCAACTGGGACAGAATCCGGTGCCCCGACCGGGACTAGAATCCAGTGTGCCGGCGCCACAGGCGGAGGATTAACCTATTGAGCTGCGGTGCTGGCCATATTCTCTCTTTTTTAATTCTATCTATTATTATTACTAGGCACTTGATTATATATATATAATCACTTTAACACTTAATATGATTACTTTAACAACTAAGATGGCATTTTTTCCATCAAGCTTAATGGGATTTAGAGTCCCATGACAAGTTTTTAAACTGTACCCTTAGAATTAAGTCCACAGGAATATATGCAGAATTATAGAGCTTTACAGTTACAAACTTCCTCCTCCCTCTGTTATTCCCAATCTTATTTTTTACTGAGATCTATTTTCAAATGACTTTATATATATATATACACACATATATATGTACATATGTGTATATATATATATACATACACACACACACACACACATATATATATGGTTAACTGTTAAGGAAAGAGTTCAAAAAGTAGTATGAAGAAAAAATAACAACAAAAAAACCTGTTCCTCGACATTCAAGATAAGGGGAGCTCAAGACATCCCTTCTTGAAGTGAATGTTGATTTCAGTTCTACAGATTTTGTTTTAGGTGCTCTATCAGTTCTCACAGATGAGAGAGAACACATGGTATTTTTCCTTTTGGGACTAGCTTATTTCACTAAGTATGTTTTCAAGATTCATCCCTTTAGTTGCAAATGAACTGATTTCATTTTTTCTTTACTGCTGTGTAGTATTCCATAGTGTATGTATCCCAATATTTCTCTATCCAGTCTTTGGTTGATGGGTATTTATTTTGATTGTATGCCTTAGCATTGTGAATCAAGCTGCAATGAACATGAAGGTGCAGATAACTCTTTTGTTTACTGATTTCATTTCCCTTGGGTAAATTCCCAGGAGTGGAATGGCTGGGTCAAATGGTAGGTCTATATTCAGATTTTTGAGGTATCTCCAAACTGTCTTCCAGAGCGGCTTTACCAGTTTACATTCCCACCAACAGGGGATTAGGGTACCATTCCCCCCACATCCTTGACAGCATTTGTAGTTTGTAATGTGTATGAAAGCCATTCTAATGGGGCTGAGGTGAAACCTCATTGTGGATTTGATTTGTATTTCCCTGACAGCCTGACCCTTAACAATTTTCATGTGTCTGTTGGCCCTTTGGATTTCTTGTTTTGCAAAGTGACTGTTTAAGTCCTTTCCTATCTCTTAAGTGGGTTGTCTGTTTTGTTGTTGTGGAGTTTCTTGATCACTTTGTAGATTCTGGTTATTACTCCTTTATCAGTTGCATAGTCTGCAAATAATTTCTCCCATTCTGTCAGTTGCCCCTTCACTTTGCTGACTGATTCTTTTGCCAGACAGAAACCTTTAAATTTGGTGTAATCCATTTGTAAATTTTGACTTTGACTGCCTGTGCCTCTGGGGTCTTTTCCAAAAGTCTTTGCCTGGGCTATTGTGAATGGGTTTGATCTTAGACGTTGAATATCAGCTGTGGCACTTTCTGTGTCTACAAAATCTGTTGATTTTTTTGCATTGACTTTATATCCTGCTACTTTATATAAGTTTTAATAGTCTCTTAGTGGAGTCTTTTGGATCCTTTGTTTGTCTACCTCCTTCCCAATTTGTATCCCTTTGATTTCTTTTTCTTGCCTAATTGTTCTGGCTTAACCTTCTAGAACTATATTGAATAGCAATGGTGACAGTGGGCATCCTTGTCGGGTACCTGATCTCAGTAGGAATGCTTCCAACTTTTCCCCATTCAGTAGGACACTGGTCGTGGTTTATTCATAAATCAACTCATTTGTGTTGAGAAATGTTTCTTCTGTTCCCAGTTTCTTAAATGTTGTTGTCATAAATTGCCTTGATTGTGTTGAGGAATGTTACCTCTAAACCAATTTACTTAGAGTTTTTACCATGAAAGGATATTATATATCATCAAATGCTTTCTATGCATCTATTGAGATAATATATGGTTTCTGTTCATCTTTTTATTAATGTGATTAATTGATTTGTGAATGTTGAACCATCCCTGCATAGCAGGGGTGAATCCCACCAGGTCTGGGTGGATGATCTTTCTAATGTGCTGTTGGATTCTATTGGCTAGAATTTTGTTGAGGATTTTTGCATCTATGTTCATTAGTGAAATTGATCTGTAATTTTCTGTTGCATCTTTTTCAGGTTTAGAAATTAAGATGGTGCTGGCTTCATAGAAAAAATTTGGAAGGATTCCCAACCTTTCAATTGTTTCGAATAACTTGAGAAGAATTGGAGTTAGTTCTTCTTTAAATGTCTGGTAGAATTTGGTAGTGAAGCCATGAGGTTCTGGGCTTTTCTCTATTGAGAGGGCCTTTATTACTGATGCCATTTCCATCTTGGTTATGGGTCTGTTGGTTTTCTGTTTTCATGGCTTTATTTAGGTTTCTTGTATGTGTCCAGGAATCTATCCTTCTAGTTTCCCAGTTTGTTGGCATATAGCTCTTTGTAGTAATTTCTGATGATTCTTTTTATTTCTGTGCTGTCTTTTGTTACATTTCCTTTTTCATCTCTAATTTTGTTGATCTTGCTCTACCTATCCTTTTTTTTTTTTTTTTTTTTTTTTTTTTTTTGTTAGCTGGGCCAATAGTAGGTCAATTTTGTTTATTTTTTCAAAAATAGCTCTTTAGTTTGCTGATGCTTTGTATTGTTTCTTGAATTCAATTTTGTTGATTTCTTCTCTAATTTTAATTATTTTTCCCTACTAGTTTTGGGTTTGGTTTACTGTAGTTTTTTTAGATCCTTGAGATGCATTAATAGCTCATTTATTTGGTGCCTTTCCAATTTTTGATGTAGGCACCTATTGTTATGAACTTTCCTCTCAACACTGCTTTTGCTGCATCCCATAGGTTTCGATATGTTGTTTTGTCATCTTCATTTGTTTCCAGAAATTTTTTCTATCTCAGTTGATTATTCCATGAGCCATTATTCGTTCAGGAGCATGTTGTTCAGTCTCTAAGAGTTTGCATATGTTCTAGAGGTTCCTGGGTTGCTGACTTCCAGTTTCATTGCATTGTTTTCTGAGAAGATGCATGCTATGATTTATATTTTTTGAATTTACTGAGACTTGATTTATAGTTGTATATGGTGAATCCTAGAGAAAGTTCCATGCACTGCTGAGAAGAATGTGTATTCTCCAAATGTAGGATGAAAAAGTCTGTTGATATCTGTTAGGTCTAGTTGGTCTACAGTGTCCAATAAATCTGCTGTTTCCTTGCTGAGTTTGTGTCTGGTTGATCTGCCCAATGCTGAAAGTAAAGTATTGAAGTCCCCAAATACTACTGTATTGGAATCTAAGTCTCTCTTTAAATCTCATAACATTTCTTTTCCATAGCCAGATGCCCTGTAATTAGGTGCATATACATTTATAATAATCACAGCTTCCTGTTAAATTGATCCCTTAATCATTACATAGTGACCTTCTTTGTCTCTTTTAAAAGTTTTTGTGTTAAAGTCTATTTGGCTGATATTAGGATGGCTTACACCATCTGTTTTTTGGTTTCTTTTGGCATGGAATATCTTTTTCCATCCTTTCAATTTCAGTCTGTGTGCATCTTGTTTGGTGAGATGTGTTTCTTATATGCAGTAAATAGATAGGTTTTGTTTTTCAATGGTTCAGCCAGTCTGTGTTTCCTATCTGGATAGTTAAGGCCATTTACATTCAAGGGGTCTATTTATAAGTAACAACTTTGCTCTGCCATTTTTCCAAAAATATTCCTATTTTTTCCTTTTAATTTCCCATGAACTTTTACTGATTTTCTTTCTTCACCTTCTTTCGTAGTGATGAGCGTGTTTCTGTGTGCAATCCTTAAGCATCTTTTGTAGGGCTGGACGGGTGGTGTCAAATTCTTTCAATTTCTGATTGTTATGAAAAGTCTTTATTTCACCTTCATTCATAAATGAGAGCTTTGGAGGGTATAGTCTTCTATGTTGTCAGTAGTTTTCTCCTAAGACTTGGAATATATCTCGCCATCTTTCCTAGCCTGTAGGGTTTCTGATGAGAAGTCTGCTGTGAGTCTAATTGGAGATACTCTGAAAGTAATCTGGTTTTCTCTGTGCACATTTTAGAATCTTTTCTTTATGTTTTACTGTGGTGAGTTTGATTTACAATATGTTGTGGTGAAGATCTTTTCTGATCATTCTATTAGGTGCTTCAGGTACTTCCTGTACTTGGATGTCCTTTTTTTTCTCCAAATTAGGGAAGTCTTCTGTTATTATTTTACTAATATTTTCTCTATTTTCAAACCTTCATGAACTCCTAGAACCCATGTTCAGCCATTTGATAGTATACTGTAGATTTACAATGTTTTTTTTTTTTTTTAAGTTTTTTGATTTCTTTTGTTTTTGTTTGACTGTATAATTTCCTCTGCTTTGTCTTGTAAGTTGATATTCTTTCTTCGGCATTTGTGGAGATAGTCGTTGGTTTCTTCTTCTTTTTTTTTTTTTTTTTTTTCCTGTGGTGGCTTTTATCTTTGTACTATGACTCTTTAGGTAAGTGGAGTGTCTGCTTTCAGTGAATATCTGGAGGCTTGTAGTGGGTGTGGTCAGAGAGCTCTTTTAAGTTCTCCAGATCAAAGGGCACACCTAAGGTACATACCCAGGTTTTGCCTGGTAAATCTCTCCCATTTTTTTTAATAAGGGAGGTTTATTCTTCTCAGCTGAGATCCTCTCCTGAAAGGAGACCATTGCCTGAATTCTAGCCCCAGTGGGTATAATATTCATCTGCTCTGCCCCTAAGACCACACAAAGGATCTGTGCAGTCCTCAGTGTAATTTCAGATACCCCTGCAGTGTTCACCAAGTAACCAGGGAGCCCTGAGCTTGTGGAGTCTCCTATAGTGATTGCCCAAGTCCTAGCCACACTGTAATTCCTCCTGCAAAGCCTTAGTTTTTTTTACATAGTCTTTGCACAGAGGCTTCCCACAGTCACAAGCTCCTAACCCCCTGTTAGTTCTCCCCACCAGAATCAGGAGTCTCTACTTGGCTGGTTGCTGGGAGTGGACACAAACTGGTGCATCTGCATGTATGTCCAAATTGGTGCCCACTCTATCTGCTTGTTACGGGATGCCATTGTAAAGTGATTGGCGGAAAATGTGCCCTTCTTTTTTTTTTTTTCTCCTCTAGTTTGGCAGGTACACTATCACCCATGGGGCTCCAAGCCAGGTTCCTTCTAGGCTCTTCCTGCAACTTTATCACCAGTGGATTGGGTTGCTGTGGTCTGGTTCACCCTCCAATGGCTGCCACAGCCAGCGCGCTGCGGCCTGCGCACCGCGCTGATCCGATGGCAGGAGCCAGATTCTTCTCCTGGTCTCCCGTGGGGTGCAGGGCCCAAGTACTTGGGCCATCCTCCACTGCACTCCCTGGCCACAGCAGAGAGCTGGCCTGGAAGAGGGGCAACCAGGACAGAATCTGGCGCCACCACCTGTGGTACTGACATCCCATATGGGTGCCGGTTTGAGTCCTGGTTCTCTACTTCCGATCCAGCACTTTGCGATGCCCTGGGAAAGCAGTGGAGGATGGCTCAAGTCTTTGGGTCCCTGCACTTCATGGGAGACCCAGAGGAAGCTCTTGGCTCCTGGCTTTGGATTGGTGCAGATTGGCATTTACTGTTCCTAGGCTCATGAAAGAAGCTTCTTATTGTTCCACAAAAGTCCTTATATAGTCTTAGACATCACTTAAATATTTTACAAACCATTGACTACTAGGGTCCCATTGCTTTGGGTAAAGAGACTCTTCTTTCATCCATATGCTTCCATAGTTTCTCATAGTGCTAATCCACAGAACCATTGAGTTAGAATCATCTAGAGCATTGCCACATCTACAGATAGCTGAGCCCTATTCCAGATTTCCCGAATCATACCTTGGAGGTACAGATAATGAATTTACACCTTTACAAGCCCCTGGGAGATTTGCTTGTACACTACAATTTGAAATTTCAGTGCTGGACAGTAAAAGGTAAAATGACCAAGAGGAAAAAAATATGACTAAAAATAACTACAATCTGAAATTAAAATCTTGATAGATTGCTGGTTATATGCTCAACATTTGAAACATTTGAACATAAATGGCAAAGCCACAATTTAGAATGATATATATATATATATTTTAGAAAATACCCTGAAAAAAACTTTTTTTAAAGCAATTTGGTTAATTTAGCTCTGGTTTACATCCAAACTCTTGGTTTCCATGTTGGGTAGTAACTATAAAGCAACATAAAATCTCCTTTGTGGTGAGTGATGGTTTGGGGAGGCCAACATGCTGTTTTAAACTTCAGCTTTAAAATAACCTTCAGAATTTTCAATTCGTGTGCTTTCTCTCTCTCTCTCTCTCTCTCTCTCTTTTTTTTTTTTTGACAGGCAGAGTGGACAGTGAGAGAGAGAGACAGAGAGAAAGGTCTTCCTTTGCCGTTGGTTCACCCTCCAATGGCCGCCGAGGCCGGCGCGCTGCGGCTGGCGCACCGCGCTGATCCAATGGCAGGAGCCAGGTACTTCTCCTGGTCTCCCATGGGGTGCAGGGCCCAGGCACTTGGGTAATCCTCCACTGCACTCCCGGGCCACAGCAGAGAGCTGGCCTGGAAGAGGGGCAACCGGGACAGAATCCGGTGCCCCGACCGGGACTAGAACCCGGAGTGCCGGCGCCGCAAGGTGGAGGATTAGCTTAGTGAGCCACGGCGCCGGCCTCATATGCTTTCTCTTACCTTGCAGTTTTTAGAAGATGAACATGAAAAGACTGTCTGTTGCTTTGTAGCGATTTGAATTTTTATGTCACTTCCATCGCCTTTCCCAACACCTTTATAAAATTGAAAAGATAGGCACACTAATGAGGAAACAGTAAAATATTCTAGCTGGTTCAAAGTACCACACATTGACAGGCAGATAGTAAATGATGCAGTGAACCTACAGCTAGATGTAAATGGGTCAGTAACCAATTGCAATCCACTGAGCATATCCAGGTTTCATTTCTTTGTACAAAAGTTGTTTGCATGATCACTTTTCTACAACTTGCAAGGTAGTTGAAGAGCTCAAAGACAATGAAAGATGAAGATAATCCTAGAAAGCATGTAGTAACAGATAAGACATCACCCATTTCAAAGCCTCTCATTCTTTCTCCTCTCACTCTCCCCAGCTCCTCTCTCTTGTTGTCACAACCATTTGGAAGATTATTTTTATTCCCAAATCACACTGATCCCAGTGGGTCTGGCCTGATTATCTACATGGGTGCAGGACAATTTTAACTTGCCCAACTGGCCTCCCTGATTCGGTCTATAAGCTAAGACTCATGGAAAGCTGAAACCTAGGGTCATGAAACCTCAGATTCCTTTTTTTTTTTTTTTAAATTATCTGTTTATTTACTGCAAAGGCAGAGTTATAGAGAGATAGCGAGAGACAGAGAAAGATCTTCCATCTACTGGTTCACTTCTTCAAAATGGCTGCAATACTCATGGGTGGGCCATGCTAAGGCTGCACCCAGATCTCCATCTGAGTCTCCCACTTAGCTGTCAGGGACCCAAACACTCAGGCCAACCTCTGCTGTCCTCCCAGGTGCTCCCACAGGGAGCTGGATTTGGACAAGCACTTACATGGATTGCTGACATTGTCGGCAATAGCTTAACCTTCTGTGACACAATGCTGGCCCCTGAGATTGATGTTTTTAAATCCTCTATTTTATGTTAGTCTGAAAGAATGAAATCATGCCCATAAAATTGCACATGACTTCACATCCATTAACTACTATTATAAATCTGGGCTAGTTCTTCTGTTTTCCAGATATCCACCTTACAGTTGTAAGCAATGTCTCTACAGGATTTAAATAAAATCCAAAATAGTATTTTTGAAAGCTTTTATTTAATAAATAAAATATATTTATTTAATAAATATAAATTTCATAGGTACAACTTTTTTATATAGTGGTTCTTCCCCGCATACCTGCCCTCCTACCCTCACTCCCATCCCAGCTCCTACTCCCTCTCCCATCTCATTCTTCATTAAGATTCATTTTAACTATCTTTATATACAGAAGATCAACTCTATACTAAGTAAAGATTTCAACAGTTTGCACCCACACAGACACACAAGGTATAAAATACTGTTTGAAGACCAGTTTTATCGTTAAATCTCACAGTACAACTCATTAACTGCTGAGGTCCTACATGGGGAGCAAATGCACAGTGACTCCTGTGGTTGATTTAACAATTGACACTCTTATTTATGATGTCAGTGATCACCCAAGGCTCTTGTCATGAGCTGCCAAGGCTATGGAAGCCTTTTGAGTGCACAAATTCTGACATTATTTAGACAAGGCCATAATCAAAGTGGAAGTTCTCTCCTCCCTTCAGAGAAAGGTAACTCCTTCTTTCCACTGGGATCTATCACAGAGATCTTTCATGTGGGCCATTTTTTGCCACAGCCTGAAATGCTGTCATGGGCATTTTAGCCAGATCCAAATGCCTTAAGGGCTGATTCTGAGGCCAGAGTGCTGTTTAGAATTCGAGTTTTGAGAAACTATTTTATTCTCATTGTTCCTATGAAAGAAAGGTGTTAAACTTCATTAGACTAAAATAAAATGCCAATTGACTTCCCTGAAATGGTTTAATACTCACCAGGATTTCTTTAGATACCCTAGAGTAAAGCTCATCTGTATATAGCCACAAGCAAATCTTCCCAAAGAATGGGAACACTGTCACTTCTGCCCAGTTTTTCAATTATACGTAAGACACTTACTATGAATTGAATGAATGATAATTTCTTTTGGCCAGAGGATCTTTCTTGGTGGGAGAGTCCAGTGGTGGAGACGCTTCACCTTTTCAAAGTAGCCTACATATCTATGCTGCAAAGCAACAGAAGCTTCAAGTTAGATGGAGATGAAAAGCTGAAAGTCAGAAATTCCTATTGTGAGGGCAGGGCATAGAGCTTTGTAAGGGCAGCAAGATATTAAGGAAACACTTGCTGGATTCTGTTATAAAACAGAGTATTTTTATGTTTGTGGCATTATAACTGCCTTAGGAAACAATATTGAACTAAGTGCTATGGGAGGAAACCAGAAAGGAGTCAGGTCTGGCTTATAGGTTGATTATAATTATGATTGTGTTTTAGACTACAACATTATCCATGTGTGGATAGAAGCAAGGTTGTGACTGAGTTACAGAAAGCTTTGGATTTGGGTGAGGAATTATCACTTGACATAAAGGAACCTCTGCCATGGGGCCTTGCCAACAGAGCTCTCAGACCTGAAATCTGCAACTGAGTCCTTCTATTGCTACCCCAGTGAATCAGAAGATATTCAGGTGTGGCATATGGTGTGCTAGTTCTGGACTAAAGTCTGGGAAACTGTGCATGACTACAGGAGAAATGGAGAAAAGATGTATGGAGAGAGTCAGTGAAGGAGCTACATTTCACATACCCTTGGCTCCTGCCACCAGATTCATGGCATGAGAACACAGTATTAAAAAGCTGAGAAATAGCAAAGGGTCTAACTGTGTTAGAGTATGGGATATGTGACAGCACTTAGTGGAGGAGAACATTTGAAAAATCCAATTGTAGAAGATCTTGAGAGCCAGCTGAGGACATATAGTTGCCATTGGCAGCAGAGAGCCACCATGGATTTTGGGCATGGAAATGGTGTGATTAAAGATGGACTTCAGTAAGTTGGTATATTACTTTCAGCCTATGGTGTGTGTGTATCTTGGTTTTTTTGGCTTAGGTATGGGAGAAAAGCATTAGTGGGTAAGGCTGAATTTTTTATCCACTGGTCACCTTCCAAATGGCTGCAATGGCTAGAGCTAAGCTGATCTGAAGCCAGGAGCCAGGAGGTTCTTCTGGGCCTCCCAAGTGTGTGTAGGGGCCCATGTCCTTGTGCCATCCTCCACTGCTTTACCACGCACAATAGCATGGAGCTGCATCAGAAGTGCAAACGACAGGACTCAATTTGTTGCCCATATGGGATGCCTGCCCTGCAAGCCAGGGCTTTAATGCACTGTACCAGAGCACTGGCCCCAGGATGCATGATTTTAACAAGTTTTTTTCATCTAATCGTTACAGTTATTCTAGATACAAACAGTGTGTCTTATGTAGAATTGCATCTTAGGGAAACAGAAAGTACTCCACAGATCCTACAGTAAAAAGATTTAAAGAGTGTCTAAAAAACTAGCTTTCCAGGGAGAGTAAATTTTACAAATCTCAATCCTACTCTTTCTATCATTATTTTGTGTTTATTTGTGTTTGAAGAGGATTGTGTACTTCTTGATGAAATATGTATGTATGTATATATATACACACACATATATATGTTTGTTGGTCTGTGTAAGTTCCAAAATGTTTCCAATAAAATACTTATATTTTAATTTCATTTATACACAACCTTTCTGAAATACACACACATGCCAAGTGCATGCTCACACACCTATTTATTCAAAATCTTTTCAAAAATATGTACTTATTTATTTAGAAGGCAAAGAGACACAAAAAAACAACAATAACAACCAATCCAGTGAAGAAATGGGAGAGGATCTGAATAGAGAGTTTTCAAAAGAAGAAACATAAATTGTCAAGAAATACATGAAAAAATGCTCAACATCATTAGACATTAGGGAAATGCAAATCAACATCACAATAAGACATCAACTCACCCCTCTCAGAATGGCTGTTACAAAAAAGAACAATAACGTTAGTGGTGATTATGAGAAAGAGGAACTCTTTTATGCTGTCTGAGGGAATGTATTTAGTGCAGCCACTGTGGAAAATGTATGGAAATTTTCTTAGCAACTAGAAATACAGTTGCCCTAAGACCAAGCAATCACACTCCTGGATATATACCTCAAAGACATTAGATACATGTTCCATCATGTTTATGGCAGAATTGTTCACAATAGCCAAATTATGCAATGAACCAAGGTGTTCATTAGCAGATGACTGGAAAAAAAGTGATATACACACACATACCCACACTGGAATATTATTCAGCTATTAAAAAAAGAATGAAATTCTATCATTTGCAACAAAATGGTTTGAACTGAAAACATCATGTAAATTCAAATATGCTAGACATAGAAAGATAAATACACATGTCCTCCTTCTTATGTGGGAGCTTAAATTCAAAAAAAAAAAAGGAAGGAAGAGGAAGGGAAAGGAAGAGAAATGGAAAGTATTAAAGAAAATATACCTGTGTGAATCAGTTCTGCTGCATATACAGTGTTTTGTCAAACTTTGCTTTAAACATTTGACCAACAGATTGATAAGAATTATATGCTCTAATAGTATTGTTTTTGTGATGTTTAAAATTTGCTATGAGTGAATTTGGACATCTTTTCACTTGGTTATTGTTTAGAGATCTTGCCTATGAAAATGCAATAAATATTAATGAAAGTATTTAAAGTAACAATAGTCAAGAAAACATGATTCCCTGTGGTCACAGGGCTGTCCTCCTTCCAGAGTTCCCCAAGCCTGGATGAAGCTGGTATGATCAGGGCCGATGGATTTTAAAACAATTCAGATTATTCAGTATTTCTTTAGTCTTTTGCACACAAAAAACACAGTTACTGAAAATTCTTTGTCTGTGTTTACCAGGATTCTCTTACCCTCCTGCTGTGTGTGTGTGTGTGTGTGTGTTTACGTGTGTGTGTGTAACTGAAGTTTGCCACATAAGCTACCTGTGCAGTGCTTGGAACAAGAGAACAGTGTGTCAGTGCTGGGGACTAGTGTGTGTGAAACATTTCTCTCCCCTGCGTTTAAATTTTAGACTTTGCTGCTGAGCTGATGTTTGGTAACAGAGATTTGCAAATCAATAGAGGAAGAAAATAGAAATTAGCTTTCTGAAAATCTGAACTCACAAATGTGAAACAAAGCAGGGTTAAATATCCAAAATATACAAATAAATGGGTATTGATGAGACAAGTTTTTTTTTTAAAGTTTCCAGGTTACTATTTATTGAATTACAAAATGGATTTTCCCATAAATATTGGAGGCCTATGAGAAACAGGACTCCAAAATCTAGAGGGAGGGGGATTTTTCAGGCTTTCCCTCATTTTCTCCAGCAGGCTGTAAACTACAATTTGAAGACTGTTTTCTAAGCCAGCCTTTCCTTCCAAGGATTTCTTGTGAGTTATGTGATTTTATGGAAACTGGAATTACTACTTAGCAAAGTTCCTAGAGTAGACTGTGAGCATTCGCACACACTGTCCATCTATGTATCAGCAGCCAGCTGTTACTATTACAGTAGGCCTGCGGAGGACACACATGGTCTTATTTCTTGAAATGGTGCTTTCATTTGGTTTCAGGCTCACAAGGTGCAATTACATATTGTGTCTTGTGAAATCTTTTCATTTCCACTCCCCGACCACTATTTCCCTCCTTGAAGCCACCTGATGTAGTGTATATCAGTTTCCTCTATGTTGTCAGGTGCTTTGTATACCAAACAGCAAGGATGCATATTTATTATTTCTCCACTTTTAAAACTTTGCACGAACAGACTCATTTATTGCCTCTTTTGCCATTTTTAACTTACAATTTTTTAAAATATTTATTTGAAAGGCAGAGTTACAGAGAGGCGGGGGGTGGTGGTGGCTTCTATCTGCTGGTTAACTGCTGAAATGGCCACAGAGTCAAGGCCAGGAGCCCAGTACTCCATCCCGGTCTCCTACGTGGATGGCAGGAATCCAGGTACTTGGGTCACCGTCACTCCCTTCCCAGGCACATTAGGAGGACGGTGGATCAGAAGTGGAGCAGCAGGGACTTCATCGGTGCTCCAACAAGGGAAGCCAGTGTTGTTGCAAGCACTCACTGCACCACAATGCTGACCTCCGTTTCTTTCCTTTTTGAAGAAATAAACGTGCAGGGCCCAAGACTTGGCCCATCTTCTACTGCTTTCCAGGCATAAGGAGAGAGCTGGATCGGAAGTAGAGCAGCCAGGACTCGAACCGCTGCCCATGTGGAATGCCCGCACTGCTGGCGGAGACTGTAACCAGCTCCGCCACAGCGCCGGCCCCCTTACAAACATCTTGTAAAGTGCTCCTAGGAGGTTTCCGTTTGTTTCCTCTGAAGCAGATGGAAGCCTGGCTCCCTACATTCGCTCTAACCGTCAGCTCTTCCCTCCCTCTAGGATTCCTTTACCCGGCGCGCTGCGTCGGGCTGGTGTTTGGCCGTTTGCACACCCCCCCCCCCCCCCCGCCCCCCTCGCCGCACCGACGCCGGTGCCTCGCGCGGTGTCCTCAGGCGTGGGCAGGCTGGGGCTGACCAGAGGGCAAGGCCCGCTGAGGAGACGCTCAGGGAACCGGCGAGGCGGTGCGGGGCGCTGTGCGCAGCGCCGGGCCCTGGAGAGCGCTTCCTGCACTGGCCCGCAGGGGGCGCGGCGGGCGGCGAGGGCCGGAGACGTCCAGGCCCCGGCCCTTTAAACA